TGGGACCTCTGCACATAATGACTGCAGTGAATGTTAGGCACAGTTTTCTGGCTTCACCAAAATCACATTCTCACAAGGATGTCTTCACTAGCGCTGCCACAGTGATAAAGCTTGGGAACTTTCCTCCACGGCAGAAACATGTAGCAGCACATTTATCCTCATATACAACATTCTACGACATCCCACAAGCTTACAATTCAAATATTTCACACTTAAAAACAATATGTGCAAATTTTCTGGAAAGATTCTATTCTAGAACCAAAACAAAGCAACACAAAAAAAGAATATACACTGCATATGAAACATGCTTCAATGACTGCTCTTGTTTGTAAGGAAGAGTACTTTTCTTCTAAAATTGCATTTTGTTGAGTGACATGTAATACTCTTTCCCCTTCTCTTCTTTCCACGCCTTTTCAGACTTTTTAAAGTTTTTTTTAAACAAACAACTATCCTTAGAATCAAGTCACAATTCTATTTACATTTGAAAGTTACATTCATTTTCTTTACAGCAAGAAAGACATACAAATATCCTTTTATCCCCTTTTAAGCAATTAAAGAAATGACGTTTCAACCTTTTATTCCATAGAAAAATATTGTCTATATAGCATCTCCACAATGATAAGAAACCTCTATAGTGTTTAGTTACAATTTTTTTTTAAAATGAGCTTACAAGGCTTTCACTTTCATTCTTGAACTGGAAAATTTAATTATTATGTTCTGAACCACCTTTCACAAATGCTGATGGATGTTTCCCAGCAGACACTAACTACTTCTGGCTGCCCATTTAGCTTTGATGACTAAAATAAAAATAATTATTCAAAGCTTCAGAAATCAACAGTAGAAGAAAAACATAAAAATAAATAGCAGCAAATTCTTACATGCTAGCAAGTAACTTTTTGGTGTCTATCCAAACAATTTCACCAAGACTATGAAAATAAAATGTCTAATATTTTGGCAGACATGGGGATTACTATTTCTTTTGATAATACATTATTATAACCACTACTAAGAATAAATGAAATCTATAAATAATAACATTTATGCTGGTGACAGTAGTAGACATGGCAAAGAAAGTTGAACAAAAACTATGTAATTCTGGGATTCGATTCTTGGGTTTTTTTTTGTTGTTGTTGTTTGTTTTTTGTTGGTCATGGGGCTTGAACTCTGGGCCTGGGTGCTGTCCCTCAGCTCTTCAGCTCAAGGCGAGCACTCTACCACTTGAGCCACAGTGCCACTTCCGGTTTTCTGGTGGTTTATTGGAGATAGGAGTCTCATGGTCTTTCCTGCCCAGGCTGGCTTTGAACCTCGATCCTCAGATCTCAGCCTCCTGAGTAGCTACGATTACAGCGCGAGCTACCGGCACCTGGCTAATTTTAATTTTTTTTATTTTTTTATATATTTATTTTTGGTTAGTAGTGGGGACTGAACTCTGGGCGTGGGTGCTGTCCCTCGGCGCTTCAGCTCAAGGCGAGCGCTCTACCCCTTGGGCCCCAGCACCACTCCTTGGGTTCTTAGAATTGGTAAAATAATCTATTCAATCATCTAGCCATCAAAAATGTTTGAGGATTATGTAATTTTCTTTTTTAGCTATCTAATTTCCTAAGAGCTTTATAAAATAGCTACTACAACTTGTGATCATACTGACACCCAATAAATCTTTGTTAGCAGTTCAATAATTCTAGTATTTAGGGCTGGGAAGGTGGCTCAGTGGTAGAACGCTTGCCTTGCATGCATGAGGCCCTGGGTTCGATTCCTCAGCACCACATCAGCAAAAAGAAAAAAGCCAGAAGTGGCGCTGTGGCTCAAGTGGTAGAACGCTAGCCTTGAGCTGAAGAGCTGAGGGACAGCGCCCAGGCCCAGAGTTCAAGCCCCACAACCAGACCAAAAAAAAAAAAAAATAATTCTAGTATTTGGAAAAATCAATTCACTGTTGTAATAACATAGATATGCTACTTGGAAGCACCACAACAAATGGTTCTAGAATCTGGGAGTGGATGGCTGCAGTGCATGTGGCAAGTAAGCAATATAAGTACAAAGTACTTGCTTTGTTGGTAGAGTAGCCTGCATACAAGCAGACCATAGTATGCTTTTATCTATGTCTTTGTCATATCAGTAGATGTTTATTCCAACAAATATTTGCCATAAATGAATTACTGATGTATTTACTATACATGATTTAAATGCAAATTTACCTGAACTACAGAGTAACAGTTATCAAATAAAAAGCGCCTGTAAACATATCCCACATTATTGTGGTATAAATTTTTCTTTTATCAGTTCAAAACTACTTTGGCAACCTTACCATCAGAATATTTAAAATATTCAAAGGACAGATATTAAATAGCACAGTTATAAATTCGTGATTCTTTCTCCCTTCCTGATAATAAAACAAGTAATGCTTTAATTCAAATATGTATTTGCATTACAAACATAAATTATTTCACTATCAGTGGATATATGCCCTAAATCTTAGTTCTATGTCTTAAGTGCTTTAAAAATAGTCTTCTACTTGTAGCCCAGAATGTTTTCACACTGCATGTGTTGCAGCCTAAACATTTCATAAAAGCTACGCTGTCAGGGAAGCATGACTAGCAAACAGAGTCAAAGACCTAATTAGGTGTTTTGAAAACGAGTTATTTTCTAAATCAAATAATGTCTCCTAAAGTTATCATTATAATGAAGTGAAAATACTGTCTGAATGTTTTCCTGGTTGAAATAGCCATGAAGTAGATAGACATGAATGTATGATATTCATATAGGTTACAATTTAATGCAATTCTAGTATAATACAGAGGAACATTATATTAGGAATTAGAAAATTTAGAAGATCAGGTTTTGCTAAATAAATTACCCTTGCTAGGCCTCTGCTTCTTTGCATATAAGGGAAGTAGAGGTTAGATAAAATCTTTCAACTTCCTCTCAGCTTTCAATGTGCAGTACTTATAATGAGACAGGATATTTTTACTGTAATACTTAACTAGATCAGATTAAACCTTGCAACTGCTGGGTGCTAGCGGCTCATGCCTGTAATCTGAACTACGCAGGAGGCTGAGATGTGAGGATTATGGTTCAAGGCCAGCCTGAGCAGGAAAGTCAGTGAGACTCTTCTCTCCAATTAACCTCCAGAAAACTGGAAGTGGTACTGTGGCTCAAAGTGGTAGAGCACTAGCCATGAGCAAAAAGAGCTCAGGGATAGCATCCAGGTACTGAGTTCAAGCCCCACGACCAACAATAACAACAAAAAAACAAAAACTATAAACCAACAACCCCCCACTCAAACAAACCTTCCAACAGATGACAAACAATACTAGTAGTTAAAATACACCATTCTCTTTGTTTGTTGGGCTGTAGCCTTTATGAAATACACAGAAAAATAAATGCATTAAAGTATCTATTATACCTGAAACTTCCAAGAAACTGTCCTTATGGCTTATCATAACTTTATGATCTGATGTTTGTCTCAACAAAATAAATCAAAATGATCAGCCATCCTTCTTAATTGTCCTCACTGGCCACACAAGACATTTTTCTTCGGTTGTTTACTTTCATTTTGAATGGCTTCTCTGGTTTAAGAGTTACAGCCAGTTTCTCTTGTGAATGTAAAGTCTACTCCAAAATATTCCTTTTCTCCCCTTATTCACAAATGAGATGCACAATTAAACACTTAAAATAAACAAGGAAAATCATCCTAAATCAGAGAGGGAAGTTTTTCATGAACACTTCTTAGGAGTATGAATTTAGGGGTGGATGGAGGAACAAACAGAATAGCTTAAGATACAAGAAATTTGGTTTTTCATCACAGTATTGCATTGATAAGGATGGAGTCTAAACTACTTGGTATATGAAAGCTACTCTGATGTTTAGAAATCCATGTAGATTGAGGATAAACAAGTTTATAAATTCTTATGTGCAATGGAGAGTCTTACATGATAGATCAATAGGGAAGCTTAATCAGTATATTAAGAAACTGTGAAGAATATTTTAAATTTCAGATCCTAGTAAACATATTTTTAGAAAAGGATCCTTTTTGCACACAAAAATACTGATAGAGGGTAGCTCTTAGAAGAAAATTTTATGATGAATTTAAATACAATTCTATACTTCCAATACATTTAAAGACAATGATTTAGAATGGCAGCAGTGATGGCTGCAAACAGTTGAGTTAACCCCAGAAGTGCAAACAAATCTACAATCAGTGAACAAGTGAACCATGACATTTCTCTGTGTATGATTTTCTTTTTGTTTACAGTTGTCATATTCTGTCCATATGATTAGGACTTTATTTTTCAATTCGAGCTAAAGCAACTGCCAAAATAGTTACTTACTATGTGGACCCCAACATGATTTTCCTTTTCAATTTGTTATGATATAGTATAGCAGCTTAAATTACACTTGTTTATTGATAGAGCACGGAATGTTCAAATAAGACTGTAATTAACTTACAGAATTCTTTTTGAAATAAAGGTTATGTCTATTTCTCTTTTAAAAAAAAACAATGATAATTTAGTTGGTATCTTGGCTATTAATGTTGAGGAGCTTAACTTTCTGAAATTTATTATCAAACATTTTGTATTTTTTATTTTTTTCTATTTTTTTTTTTTTTTGTCGGTCGTGAGGTTTGAACTCTGGGCCTGAGCACTGTCCCTCAGCTCTTCAGCTCAAGGCTAGCATTCTACCACTTGAGCTACAGCACCACTTCCTATCAAACATTTTGAATATGTGATTTTTAAATATATATTGTTCCTGACATCCTAAACTTTATCAAAGCTATTCAGAAATACTAAGATACTAACAAGCAAATCTATCTTAATTATATCCATATAAAATAATTCTGTAAAAACATTTGAGCAGGTGAGCAAATTTCACTTATATTAATCTGGGTAATATTAAGGTTCTCTTTCTGTAGCCTTACAAGCAAAAATCCTGAAGAGGAAAATTACATGTTCTTCATGGGAGTCAGAGCTTCAGTCAGGCTGGACAATCAGAAACCTCCTTAGTCCCATGCTTATAACTTAATAAGCATAAACTGGGGGAATTTAATTATACACAAAAATGACAAAACACTCTCATTTTACTATTGAGAGTTACATGTAAAAATAAGTCAATAGTATTTATTTTCAAGAATCCCAACCAAAACACCTAAGGGGAGAAAGCTTGCTATTACTGAAATAAGTGCCAAAGGTAATGCCTTACAGATAGGAATAAACTACAACCCATTAACTGCTCTTACTTTAACTTACTGTATCAATAGGTTTATCTCTAATGTGCATATTAAACATCACTTCTAATGTTAGGGACAAAGCAGTACAAAATTGTGAATAAAGCATGTTTTTAAAGTTAAGCTGCTGAACTGTAACCCGTCCTTCAGTAAAGGAATGTATAGATTTTGAACAATTCCATAGCAGCAGAGCGTGCACTCAAGAGAATACAAACTTTTTCTTGGCTTATGACAAAATACAAGTACTAAGACAGGATTTCCTTGCCATGTTTTGACTGTATAACTCTCAATACAAGAAGCTGTTTTTGAAAATGTGAACTTATTTGAAATGCATAAAAATGTAAGAATGTACAATATACATACATACCTCCTAGTGGGGTCAAATGAGTGCCTTTTCATTAGACATACAAAGATGTCTCAAGGCACTTAAGGGGTTAAGACACAATGCATGCATTCCTTTACATCAAGTATGTGAAATCACATGATTTGGAATAAGCCAACTTTATGATAAATATAAGTTACATTACTAAATCCAAGAAAATTTGTAGATTCATCTTTCTATTTTCTATAAGATGCTGGTAAATGGACAATATGCAGCATTTCCTGGAAAAGTAAATTCCACCTTTCTTCTTCTGAACAGCAGGTCTTTACAGGGGTGTGTAGGGATAGATGTGCTGCATCCATAGGCAGTGTATTGGCTAATATTGAGAATGGTATTGCTAAAATCTTAAAAATAAAATCTGGTAACCAGTTTAGTAAGTAAATGAACAACTGGCAAAGGCCAGAGCTGACTCCTGATGTTTGTTTCTTCTTGCTTTCAGGATTCAGGTACAACAGAGATGATGAGAATTCTGAGCCTTGTTTGTGGCAATTTTACCAAAAGGGACTGCATGGCACCACCACAAAATTTCAAAAATTACCCCGAACATACTCAGTTATTCACTACTTGTTCGGAGCAAAGCATGAAATAGTCTTCCAATATATGAGTTGTAGATCTCCAAGAGTGACATTTTTCTAAACATAAAGTGCAATAGTGCTGAAGGCTTTCAAAGTATTTTTGAGTTCTTCATTTTTTGTGAGATGCCATTTCCTGTGAACAGTCTTATGGCACTGTGATTATAATGAAAAGCAGTTTTCCAACACACATCCCAGACCTTTTGTTTTCTTATTTATTTGATGTTGTTGTTAAGGGTTTAACAAAGCCTTCTTCATAAACTTTCAGAATAGCTTCACATACAAATCTATATTGACTCTGAAAAATAAAAATAGACATGATCAGAAAACAACAAAAATGACAAGTTTCTCACTGGTTTGCTTTTAAAAATATACAAAGTAAAACAGCACATAGGCACCATTTTTAAACAGACAGAAAATGTGTCCATATTTTGTTGGTAAAAAATACTGTTGATAAAACACTACTACACTGTTGCTAGAAGTGTTAAAATATCACATACTCTCTAAGAAAGAATTGAGACTATTTAATCAAATTATATTAATTTACCTAGAAAATTCCTCTTGTAGGAATCTATTCAAAAGGTAAACTAGAAAAATAAACTGAGAATACATCTCTAATTTTGATTATTTATAATACCAAAAAAAGTGGAGATAAGACAGGTGCTGGTGACTAATGCCTAGTTACTCAGGAGACTAGGATCTGTGGACCATGGTTTGAAGCCAGTTTGGGAAGGAAAAGTCTGTAAGACTCCAATTAACCAGCCAAGAGATGGAAGTATAGCTGTGGCTCAAGTGGTACAGCACTAGCCCTGAGATCAAGCCCAGTATTGGCATGCACCTGCATGCGTGCGTACGTGTGTATGCACACACATGCTCATGTGTGCACACATGTATGCACACAAGTATATCAGTCCAAATTACCATCAATAAAGTGAGTAAACTATGGCATTCATATGGACATTCTGCCTGGGCAAAAAAGTTAGTGAGAGCCTTGATAGAGAGAAATGATAGAACACAAATAATTTAGCTCATCAAAGAAAGTTCAAGAAAAAAGACAATTAAGAGATCTCTGAGAAATAAACAAAATGACTAGGAAATGTGCAACCTATACTTGCACCTACATTTTAACCAGATTGCAAAACAAATTGCAATTTGAATGTTATGATCCAGCAATTCCATATATGTATAAAATATAGTATGGTCATGGAAGAATTCATTCACAGTAGGGGAAATACATTGAACAAAAGAAGTATAAAACTTGCAGGCTGCAAACATCACTGAAATAAATTAAAGGCCTAAATAAAATGAGGATAATTCCATGTCTGTGGTTTATAATTAATCTGTAGCTAAACTGTGTTTTTTTTTCCAGAAAGAACAAACTAACCCTAAAATTTTTATGAAAATGCAAGGAACTCAGGATAATTTTTAAAAAATCTTTAAAAAAGAAGATTCTTATTTCAAGGTCAAATGGTGCTGTGACTCAAGTGCTAGAGCACTATCCTTGAGCAAAAAAGCTCAGGGACAGTGCCAAGGCCCTGAGTTCAAGCCCCATTAGCAAGCCTTCCCCCCCAATTTTTTTTTTCAAAGTTGGCCTGGGCATAGGTGGTTCACACCTGTAATGCTAGCTACTCAGGAGGCTGAGATCTGAGGATCACGGTTCAAAGCCAGTCTGGGCTAACAAAAAAATTAAAAAAAAAAAAAAAAAAAAAAGAAGATTCTTCTTAAGAAGATTCAATCTGAAAACTCAAAAAATTAAATCTCCCAACAACATATCCTCAAAGAAACAACTGCCTGATAAATAAGTGGGCTAAAGACTTAAAGAGACAGGGCTTGAGAAGGTGGCTCAGTGGTAGAGTGCTTGCCTTGTATGCATGAGGCACTCGGTTCGATTCCTCAGCACCACATAAGCAGAAAAAGCCAGAAGTGGGGGTGAGGCTCAGGTGGTAGAGCACTAGTCTACAATTGAAGAGCTGAGGGACAGCGCCCAGGCCCTCAACCGACAAAAAAAAAAAAAGAAAAAGACTTCTCTGAAGTGGAAATAAGAATGGCCAATAGACACATGAAGAAATGCTCAACCTCTCTAGCCACAAAAGAAATGCAAATCAAAACAGCATTGAGATTTTACTTCATCCCAGTTAGAATGGCTATCATCAAGAAATTTAATAACAACAGATGCTGAAGGGGATGTAGCCAGAAGGGAACCTTACTGCATTGTTGGTGGGAGTGTAAACTTTGGAAAGCAGTATGGAGGTTCCTCAAGACTCCAGATAGAGCTCCCCTGTGACCCAGCAATCCCACTTTTGGACATTTACCCAAATGATCACAAACAAAGCCATACTATCGCTGTCCCTCAGTTCTTCAGCTCAAGGCCAGCGCTCTACCACTTGAGCTACAGCGCCACTTCCGGTTTTCTGGTGGTTTATTGGAGATAGGAGTCTCACGGTCTCTCCTGCCCGGGCTGGCTTTGAACCGCGATCCTCAGATCTCAGCCTCCTGAGTAGCTAGGATTACAGGCGTGAGCCACCAGCGCCCGGCCACACACATGAATTCTATGCCTCCATCAGAAAGAATGACAGTGCCCCATTTGTTAGGAAATGGAAAGACTTGGAAAAAATTATATTAAGTAAAGTAAGTCAGGCCCAAAGAAACATAGGTCCCATGGTTTCCCTCATTTGCAATAACTAGTGTATGTCTGGAACAAGCAGAAAAGGTCAAAAGCTATGTACATATGATCAGATAAGATGATGTTAAGCGAAATGAACCCCAAGATAGGGACACAGTGGTTTTTTTCTTGCTTGCTATTATTTCTAACATATTTATAATGTACCATGTGGTTTTCTGTTTCTTTGTATGTTCCTCCCCCACGGTATAACTCCTGTTTTCACTATATTTGATGTCGGTGCCCTGCATCTTGTATATACACTTCTCTAATTTGGGGAGGGGAAGGGGAAAAACAAAATGCTTAAATAGGGATAATGTTGACCCATAGTAACAATGAGATGTACAAAATACTGTTGAAAACGAACTTTACAATTTAGGCAAGTGGGGGGAGAGTGTAGTTGTGGAGGTGGAAGGGCAGGGATGGTAGGGGAGAAACAAAGGAGGAGGTAACAATGCTTGTTAGGAAATGTACTCATTACCTTGCTCATGTAACTGTAACCCCTCTGTACAGTATTTTTACAATAAACAAAGTACAAAAAAGGAGATACATATTGATTTTAAATTTTAGAGCATTATTGTACTAGTGTAAGGACATATAGATTGATGAAACAGAAATTTCTACTAGAAATCTTTTCACTTTGGCCAAAAGGATTTTGAAAAGAAACTTGAAAACATATATACAAAATAGTGAAATTGGAATCCTACCTCAAACCCTATCTAGAAATTAACTCAAAACAGATTAGAGTCCCTAAATGTGGGCGATAAAACTGTAAGAAAATTAGATAGAAGTCAGAGAAATAAATCTTTGTGAGCCTAGCTTAGGAAATTATTCCTTAGCTAGTGCAACAAAAACATAAAGAGAAAAAAAATAGATATACCAGACTTCATTAAATATGATCAAGAAACTGAAAAGGCAGAATGTAAGAAAATATTTTCAAGTTAGATTTCAAAAGGATCTTGTATCTAGAATGTACAAACTCAATAAAACAAGAACTACCCAATTAAATTCTAGGCAAAATTTTTGGACGTGGAAATAGCCAATTATTACACAAAAAGTTCTTGATAAAATTAGTTATTGGGAAGATACAAATAAAAGTCAAAATGAGATACTAATTCATATCCAGAAGGATGCAAAACCACCCTTCCCCTACAGAAGTTTTGATGATGTTAAGAAAATGAAATCCTCATATATTACTAGTGGAAATATACAACAAGCTAGATGGCTAGAGGTACAGTTCAGTGGTAGAATGTTTACCTAGTATGAACACAGCTCTGTTTCTGAAAGATTAAAGAGAATTATGATATGAAACAGCAATTGTACTCCTGGTATATTCAAGAAAAATTAAAAAATGTTTACACATGAAAGTTCATGAATTAGCCAAAGGATGGAAATAATTCAAATGTTAATTTGTAGGTGGGTGAATGAATAAAATGTGGTAGAGCCATATTTTTTTTTTTTTCTGGTCCTATGGCTTGAACTCAGGGCCTGGGCACTGTCCCTGAGCCTCTTTCTGCTCAAGGCTACTGCTCTACCATTTGAGCCACAGAGCCACTTCTGGCTTTTTCTGAGTACAGTGTTTATCAAAGATAAGAGTCTCATGAATTTTTCTGCCTGGGCTGGCTTTGAACCATGATCCTCAGATCTCAGCTTTCTGAGTTGCTAGAATTATAGGCATAGAGCACCCAGCATAGAGACACATTTTGCAGTGAGTGTTATTCAGCAATAAAGGAATGAAGTACCAATCCAGATTATAGTATGGAAAAGCAGATTAACTGTTGCCTAAATTGGGGATCAGGAAGATTTAAAGAGGTGCAAGAGAAAATAAAAATTGTTAATAGATTCTTTGTCAGGATGTCAAAAATGCTTTAAACTTACAGTGATGATCACCAAACCCCTGTGGAGGTTTAAGTATAACTTACTTATAATTGAGTACTTTAAAAGGGTGAATTTTATGGTATATGAATTATAATTTAATAATGTTGTTCCAGGATAAAAATGTTTATGAAATCTGCACATGATTTAGTAATATTAAAGAATTATGATTGATCACACTAAGGCAAAACAACTTTCTTTGGTCCAGTTGTGGGGCCTGAACTCTGGGCCTGGGCGCTGTCCCTCAGCTCTTCAGCTCAAGGCTAGCTAGTGCTCTACCACTTGAGCCACAGCACCACTTCCGGCTTTTTAAATTTTGCTTATGTGGTGCTAAGGAATCGAACCCAGGGCCTCATGCATGCAAGGCAAGCGCTCTACCACTGAGCCAACTTCCCAGCCCCCCAAACAACTTTCTTTTTGTTTAAAAAGAAAAGAGATACAAGAGATACACAGAGATATACAGCAAGATAATCCAAAGTAATACAAAGTCTAAGATTTGCTTTAAATGTGGGGAAAGCAAGTAACTGATGAAAACAAGATGGCAAATACTAGGTCTGAGAAATTATTACTATTTTTCTATATTTTTAAAATTTTTTGCTGGTCCTGGGACTTGAACTCAGGGCCTAGACACTGTCCCCAAGCTTCTTTGTCTCAGACTAGCACTCTGCCATCTGAGCCACAGCACCACTTCCAGCTTTTTCTGTTTATGTAGTTCTGAGCAAGTAAACCCAGGGATTCTTCATGCATGCTAACCAAGCACTCTACTCTACCAGTAAGCCACATTCCTAACCCAAAGTATTCATTATTATACTGCAAATTTTTGTCTAAGTTTGAGAATTTCTGTAACTAAAAGCTAAAATAAATGACAAGCATAGGTCAATCAGCTTCAAATAAACTTATTTTATTTATTTATTTTTTTGGGTCTGGTTGTGGGGCCTGAACTCTGGGCCTGAGCGCTGTCCCTCAGCTCTTCAGCTAAAGGCTAGTGCTCTACCACTTGAGCCACAGCGCCACTTCTGGCTTTTTTCTTGGTGCTGAGGAATTGAACCCAGGGCCTCAGGCATGCAAGGCAAGTGCTCTACCACTGAGCCACCTTCCCAGCCCAGCTTCAAATAATCTTGTGACAACAAATATGCTAGTATTTTTAATGCTTTCAATTGTAAATACTAAAATTTATTATCTTGCTAGGTGTCTGTGGCTCATGTCTATAATCCTAGCTACTCAGGAGGCTGAGATCTGAGGATCACATTTAGAAGCCAGCCCAGGCAGGAAAGTACATGAGACTCTAATCTCCAAATAACCACCACAAAACCAGAAGTGGCACTGTGGCTCAAAGTAGCAGAGCAACAGCCTTGAGTGAAAAAGGTCAGGGACAATGCCCAGGCTCTGAGTTCAAGCCCCATGGGGGGAAAAGATCTTAACTTTAACATTAGTTCTAAAATCCGTAATTCCTCTTCTGATTCCTCAAACATAATTATGAGTCAGTGTAAGCTGGGTGTAGGTGTATACCTCTGTGATCTTAGCATTTGGGAGGCTGAGGCAGGAGGACTGTGAGTTCAAGAACAGCCTGGGACTACAAACCAAGACTTGCTTGACTTGCTTGGTAAGTATAAAGCAAAGCAAACAGTCAGTGAAGAATCTAATAAGTAACTTAAATTCTAGGACTACTGTTAGGTGTTTAAAGAAGCTGTACATCAGCTGTTTCACTGAAAGCAGTCCTCTCAGGATTCTCCATTCCTGGGATACTATCATTGTCAGCATTCCACCTAGTGACTAAGTAATGAAAGGCAAGTCTGTCTTTGTTTAAGCATTCAAGATTGAGCATACTATGTCACTTTCATGTTGGCAAAACTTTCTGTAAAAGGCCAGATAGTATTTTAGAAATTGCAGGCCCCAGAATATCTGTTGCAATTTCTTTCTTTCTTTCTTTTTTTTTGGGGGGGGGGGGTACAGTCATGGGGCCTGAACTCTGGGCCTGGGCGCTGTCAAGGCTAGCATTCTACCACTTGAGCCACAGCGCCACTTCCAGCTTTTTTTTTCCTTCTGCTTATGTGGCACTGAGGAATTGAACCGAGGGCCTCAAGCATGCAAGGCAAGCGCTCTGCCACTGAGCCACCTTCCCAGACCGCAATTTCTTAACTGCTATTATGATGTGAAAGCAACTGAAGACAATACTTAAGTGAATGAACCATGGCTGAGTTCTACTAATGCTTTATTTACAAAAACAATAGGTAAGTCAGATCTGACTTGCAGGTCAAATCTAGTATCTGTTGATCCCTGTACAAGCAGTTAGAAATGTCTAATAATTCCGAGTTAGGAATCATTAGCTCCTGGCAATGAGTAACAAGGTAAAAATAGGGGCTTGGGAGTGATAGTGCAAATCTGCAACCTTTGCTATTTGGGAAGCCAAGATTGGGGAAAAAAGTGGTTTGAGGGCCAGCCTAGGGAAGGAAACTTAAAGAGGGACCCCAGGAAAAATCAGAGGTTGGGAATGAGATGGTGGCTAAGTAATGGTTACCTAGAGTTTTTTCTCATGAACACACCTCATTGGACAGCTATTTGCACACAAAAAAATCCTTCAAAAAAAAATAAACAAAGAGATCTGGACCAACAGCATAGCAGCTTTGTTAACACCAGTATTTCACAAACACCCAGTTTTGAGGAAGCACAGTGAATACAGCTTGTCTTCTGGGAACTCTGGGCCATAAGGATGTTCTTACCTACAGGACTGCACAAACTACATCACAGTACAACATAAACCCATGCTCCTCTCAATATGGGTCAAGGACTAGCTCTGCCAGCAGCAAGAAAATTTAGCAGATAGATATTGGAAATCTGTTGTTGATGGTACATTCTTGTCATCCCAGTTAAGGTGTGAAGCATACATAGGAAGAGTGTGGTCCAGGAAAAAGGTAAGATGCTAACTGAATAAAAAAGCCAGAGCAGGAAGGGATGGAGGTTTGGCTCAAGTAGTAGAGTTCTTGCCTAGTGAGTATGAAGTCCTGAGTTCAAACTCCAGTAACACACACACACACACACACACACACACACACACACACACACACCCAACATCCTTTTACAATAAAAGCTCTGCAAAAAAAAAAAAAAGGAAAAAAAAGTTCTGAAGGAACTAGGAACAAACCTTAACATAATAAAGGTTATATAGAACAAGCCTAGAACCAACATAAAACTAAATGGAGAAAAATTAAAACCATTCCCCATTCCTCTACAGTTACCAGTGAGACAAATGTCTATTTCTTCCATCTTATTCAATATAGTGCTTAAATTCCTGCCAGAGGAATTCAATGAAGCAAGAGAAATAAAAGGTACACACAGGAATCTCCCTATTTGGAGATTATATGCAATCCTATGGCTTTTAAAAAAGATTTCATCAGAAACCTCTTGGATCTGATAGAATTTTCAGCAAATTCTAATTTTAAAATTAAAAAAAGTCAGTAGCTTTTTTATAAACCAAAAATCAACAAACTGAAAAAGAAATCACAATGGTCTCACATGGCAACATTAGCACCAACAATAACAATAACAAATGAAACAGAGAATAAGCCTAACTAAGAAGGGAAAGGAGTTCTAAGACAAACAAAATTTAGAAACAAGCCAGGCACTGGTGGCCTCATGCCTGTCAAACGAGCTACTCAGGAGGCTGAGATCTGAGGATAGCCTTTCAAAGCCAGCTGGGCAGGAAAGTCCATGAGACTTTTATCTCCAATAACCCACTCAGAAAACCAGAAGTGGCACTGTGGCTCAAGTGGTAGAGTGCTAGCCTTGAAATGAAGAACTCAGGGACAGTGCCCATGCCCAGAGTTCAAGCCCCGTAACTGACAAAAAAAAAAAAAAAAAGACACCAAAAAAACTAGAAAATGAAAAGACCTCCTTGTTATGGATTAGCAGAAAGAATATTGTAGAAAGGGCTATATTACCAAAAGCATTCTATATATTCAGTGCAATTCCATCTTGATGTCATTCTTCACAGAAATAAAAATCAATGCTGTAATATGCTGTAATTCATATGGAGTCATAAAAGAGTCTGAAATAGCAAAAGCAATAGAGCAAAAAGGGCTATACTAGGTATCATAATACTTCAAATCATACTTCAAAGCCGTATTAACAAAAACAGCATGGCACAGACAAAAAAACACCCATATAAACCAATGGAATAGAAGACTCAAGAGTGCTGGGGGCCATAGCTCAAGTAGCGGAGTCCCTGAATAGCAAGCTAGAGGTCTGAGTTCAATCCTCAATACATCTAAAGCAAAGAGAAAAATAGAAGACCCAGAAATAAATCCACACATCTATAGCAATCTGATTTTTGACAAAGGAGTAAAAAACAAAGTGGAGAAAAGACATCATCTTCAACAAACAGTGCTGGGAAACTAAAACTACTTATAGAAAAACACAAGGGAACATCTGGAAGTATGGCTCTAATGATAATATTTCACCTAGCAAGAACAAAGCCTTGACTACAAACCTCAGAACTGCCAAAACAAAACAAAACAAACCCAAAGATGTATGTGTATAAACGATTTAAGGTACATACTGATAACAAAACCTATTGAGTTTGAAGATATGTATATGTATGTTTGTGTATATATATGTATATATATACACACATATATATACATACATACACACATAAATATATATATATATATATATATATATATATATATATATATATATATATATACCTGAAGTACAGTACTTACAGGTGTTTGTATCATCATGGCTCGTTGATCTCTCATTGTTCTTACAATGTCTAGTGGATAAACTGGTTGATTGCATTCAATGAGACACATGGCTGTTTCCATAGTAATAAGAACCCCAGTCCTTCCAATTCCAGCACTGCAAGAAGACAAATTGGTAAAGTCTTACTGATACAATGGTATTTACTTCTCAGAGGTTTGAAGAAAAAACTGAAGTGCTAAATTATAATACAGAAGATCAATTTTATTTTAAGATTTTATATTACAGAAGTAGTAAGTCAATATTTGTATAAGGAATAGAATCTTATTGGAGCTATCTCCCTTAAAGTGCAAAACAACAGAACTCTAGTAATTAATATTAACAAAAACATAAAATACAATAGTATTTTCTCCTTAAGTGTTTTAAACAAAATGTAATTTAAAAATTTTATCATTAAGATCAAGATTTTTTGGAAATACAATCTGTAAATATGAATGGAGTAGCTACTAAAAATTTTACAATATAAACGGCCAAATGTATTTTGCCATTCTTTCTTTTGTTGTTGTTGTTGGTTGTGGGACCTGAACTCTGTTCCTCAGCTCTTTAGCTCAAGGCTAGTGCTCTACAACTTGAGCCACAGTGCCACTTCCGGCTTTTTCTGCTTATGTGTTGCTGAGGAATGGAATCCAGGGCCTCATGCATGCAAGGCAAGCACTCTACCACTGAGCCACCTTCCCAGCCTCTATTTTGCCATTCTTGATACGATGCCTTTTAAAAGATCTGGCCTTCAATCTTTTTTGGTGATTTGAAAGTCTACTGTTAATACCTCCACGATCCCAAAAACTCCATCCCCAAACTTTTAGAAATCATAAGTCACTTCGGCAAAATAGCAGGATACAAAATAAACCCACAAAAATCAGTTGCCTTCCTATACACTGATAACGCACAGGAAGAGAGGGAAATAAAGGGAGCAACCCCATTCACAATAACCTCCCAAAAAATAAAATATCTAGGAATTAACCTAACCAAAGATGTAAAAGAACTATTTAATGAGAACTATAAAAAGTTAAAGAAAGAAATTGCAGAAGACACTAGGAAATGGAAAGACCTCCCATGCTCCTGGATAGGCCGACTTAATATAGTAAAGATGGTGATACTTCCAAAACTAATATACAAATTCAATGCAATTCCTATTAAAATCCCAATGACGTACATCACTGAAATACAGAAAACAGTCCAAAAATTTATATGGAACAACAAAAGACCTAGAATAGCCAAAACAATTCTAGGGGATAAAGACAATATGGGAGGGCTATCCATGCCGAACTTCAAACTCTACTACAGAGCTATAATCACAAAGACAGCATGGTACTGGCACAAAAACAGACCCGAAGACCAATGGAACAGAATAGAAGATCCAGATATAAATCCACAGGCCTACAGCCAGCTGATATTTGACAAAGGAGCCAAAGACATACAATGGAAGAAACACAGCCTCTTCAACCGCTGGTGCTGGGAAAACTGGGCAGCCACATGCAGAAAACTAAAAGTGGACCCCAGCCTATCACCATGCACCAACATCAACTCAAAATGGATTAAAGACCTTAACATTAAACCTGAATCTCTGAAACTACTGCAGGACAGAGTAGGAGAGACACTTGAACTAATAGGCACAGGAAGGAACTTCCTGAACAGAGTCCCAGGGTCACAACAAGTTGGAGAGAGACTCGACAAATGGGACTACCTTAAAATAAAAAGCTTCTGCACAGCTAAATCTATCGCAACTAAGCTAGAAAGACAACCAACTAATTGGGAAAAAATATTTACCAGCAATATATCAGACAAGGGGTTAACATCCTGTATATACAGGGAACTCAAGAAACTAATCCCTCCCAAACCTAACAAACCAATTACTAAATGGGCAAGGGAACTAAAGAGGGACTTCTCAAATGAAGAAATAAAAATGGCAAAGAAACACATGAGGAAATGTTCATCATCCCTGGTGGTGAAGGAAATGCAAATAAAGACAACCCTGACAATAAGACAACATTCTTACCCCAGTCAGAATGTCCCACATCCACAAATCAGCCAACGACAAATGCTGGAGGGGATGTGGAGAAAGAGGAACCCTATTACACTGCTGGTGGGAATGTACACTTATACAACCACTTTGGAAAGCAGTCTGGAGGGTCCTTAGAAAGCTAAAGATTGACCTCCCTTACGACCCAGTCATACCACTTCTAGGCATCTACCCTGAACAACAGGAACCAATATACAAGGACACGTGCACCTCCATGTTTATTGCAGCACTGTTCGCAATAGCTAGGATATGGAAACAACCTAGGTGCCCCACCACAGATGAATGGATCCAAAAATTGTGGTATCTATACACAATGGAATATTATGCAGCCATTAGAAATGACAAAATAATGGCATTTGCAGGGAAATGGATGGAGCTAGAAGGAATCATGTTGAGCGAGGTAAGCCAAGAACGAAGAGACAAACGGTACATGGTCTCCCTCATAAGTGGATGCTAAATCCAAAAGGTTAGGTGATACGACAAAACTAACAGGACTTAAGAAACAAAGAACTCCCGCTCATCTGGTTGAACCACTACTAAATATCCTCATGCTGCTGATCACAAATATGGTATATAACATGTGAACACTGTTATATATTACAGACTGTGGTAGACAATTTGCTCCAGGGAAGTTAGAATGAACTTGTGACTTTGAAATTATGTAATCATTTAATCACAATCAAAAAAAAAAAAAAAAAAAAGAACCTCGGGGAAGGGAGGGAGGGAGGGGATGGTAGGGGGAAAACAATGGAGGGGGTAACAATGTTCAAGAGGAAGTGTACTCATAACCTCACTCATGTAACTGTAACCCTCTGTATAGTAGCTTTACAATAAAAAAAAAAAAAAAGTGAAAAAAAAAAAAAAAAAAAGAGAATCACAGATACAGATAGCACTTGGAATCCAAGAAAAAAACACAGATCTTAATCCAGGGTTAGGTTTCTACTTCTATCTAGTGATAGTTCATGCACACTCTAGATTAGCACATTGGAAGTGGTACTGTGGCTCAAGTGGTAGAGCACTTGCCTTGAACTGAGGAGTTGAGACAGCACCCAGTCCCAGAGTTTAAGCCACATGACAAAAAAATAAAATAAAATAAAATCTAGATTGACCCATGTGGAGTACAACAGAGACAAGAAGCAAGTAGTTCAGGTCTGTCTTCAGGGAAAGGCATGGGTTAAAGACTAAGAGTAGTCTCTTGTTAGCCTTTGCAGTCCTGGAAAGCTTGCTCAAAGCAGTTTTATTTGCATGAAAAACTGCTGAGTTCAGAAGATATTTTGTTCATTTGGAAGGCTCACATGCTTAAAATACAAAAAAAGGGGGGGGGGACAAACAAATTTTATTGCAAAAGAAATTATGTTTTTCTTCAAGAGAGTGAAAATAAATGGCCTACAATGATTTTTGGTGGGAGAAAAAGAATTTGTTCAAACATTATGATTTGTATTATTCTACTGTAATGCTAATTTCTTAGTTCTGTCTAATTTCTTAGTTGTCTGATGATAAGGCCCGACCTAAATAAATAAATAAAAACAAGACATCTCTAAAAAAAAAAAAAAAAAAAAAAAAAAAAAAGTCTACTGTTAAAATGTGATGGTAAGTCTGAAGATAAAAGGAATGCCAGTGGGGCTGGGAAGGTGGCTCAGTGGTAGAGTGCTTGCCTTGCATGCATGAGGCCCTGGGTTCGATTCCTCAGCACCACATAAGCAAAAAGAAAAAAGAAGTGGCGCTGTGGCTCAAGTGGTAGAGCACTAGCCTTGAGCTGAAGAGCTGAGGGACAGCACCCAGGCCCAGAGTTCAGGCCCACGACCGGACTTCTCCCCCTCCCCCAAAAAAGGTATGCCAGTAAGTATATTCACTGAATACATCAGCTAAAACATGGTTATGGTAAGGACATAATTTCTGTTTTCTAATCTTTAGTCAAGTGGCAGTGTAGGTTGAAGTCACTGTATTTGGCTCTTTGAGGGTAGCCTATTCACTGTTCACCAAGACCTCTAGGAAAAGGCATATCTTATAGTGACATGTGATAGGGCCATTTCAGGAGGAGATGGGAAGATTCAATATATTATAACCTAAAAGAAAGGGTATGCTGCAAGGAAGAAAGAGATCTAAACTTCAGGCCATCTTCAATGACTATGTTAGAAATAAAACTTAATTACCAATATGAGCAGGCAAATGAGTCATGGGGGCAGAGTCCTCAAAGTTGTGATGAAGACCCTTATAAGAGAGCTCAAGGGAAGGTTCATCTCCCATTCCTTCTGCCATATGAGGACACAGGATTTGGGCCTTCTGGAAATGGATCAATAAGGTACTACCCTTTGGTTGTCCTTACCTGACACCAAATTTGCAGGTGCCATTGATTGGACACTTGATTCCAGGTTGGACTTCCCAATCAGTTTTTCTTCTTAATTTGTTATAGCAATATAAACATAGAAAGATAGCCTAAAATATTGGATTTTATCAGATTTAAGATTAATCTAAGATCAACTTCAATAAAAATTTCAATTCCAGAGATGTTAAAATATGAAAAGTCTCCAAGAATCAGTATAATGTATCTTTATTTCCTATGATTTCTACCAATCATGTTAGAACCTACCCTTTGCTTTCTACCTTCAGAGCACAGCTTTGAGGTCAAATTACCACATCTAGTAATCACTACCTAATTATCAATCACAACGTAAGGACAAAATGTGTACTCTCATTTTAAAATGGCATATTTAATGTTATTCATAAAAGACAGGAAATAGAATACCTGCAATGAACAACAATAGGTTCTTCTTTTCCAGCCCTCTTGTTACGTACATGACAAACAAAATCCAGAAAGTCACTTGAATCATCAGGGACTCCATGGTCAGGCCAGGCTATGTACTGGATCTGAGTGAGCTGACGACTCTCATTTTTCTGAGTGCAAATAAAAATTATGCATCTTGACTTAGGAATTATATCTTTAATATATAAACATTCATGTCATTTTAATTTTAGAAGGCAAACAAAAACAACCAATAACTCCCTGTCTCCGAAATACATAACTCAATGAACATAAAGTATCAATAAAAAGGAATACATCATTCTATAGAAACGGCTGTATCCTTTTAAGGTTCCTTGTATTATTTCTCTATGTCCATTTCTATATTTGTAATTACTTTTCAGATGATAATCAAGTAAACAAACCTAAACAAATCAAGATAAAAACCTTAAAAGTTAGGTGAGCAAAAAAATAGTAATGTAAAAACATTTTTCCTTTTTTTTTTAATGGTAAACAAAATTGGGCTAATCTGACATGACACAGATGAAATTTTGGCAATCAGAAAAAAATTCTTTAAGACATGTAGACCAAAAATTGGAGATAATGAGTTGGAGGTATGGCTCAACTGGTAGGGTACCAGATGCAAGCAAGCTGAGCAAAAAAAAGCTCAAGGCCCCTAGTTCAATACCTGGTACCAGAACACTAACAAAAACAAAAAACCTAGAGATCATAAAAACACAAAGTTCAACCAAGAATCAATTCTTTTTGTGAGACAGAGAGAGGAGAGAGAAGGGAGAGGGGAGAGGGGCAGAAAAGGAGGGAGGGAGGGAGGGAGGGAGGGAGGGAGGAAGGAAGGGAGGGAGGGAGAGGGAGGGAGAGAGAGAGAGAGAGAGAGACAGAGAGAGAGAGAGAGAGAGAGAGAGAGAACAAAAAAGGACTTCTTAGTCAGGTGCCAGTGGTTCACACCTGTAATCCTAGCTACTCAGGAGGCTGAGATCTGAGGATCATGGTTCAAAACCAGCCCAGGCAGGAAAGTCTGTGAGACTCTTATCTCCAATAGACCATCAGAAAACCATAAGTGAAGCTGTGGCTCAAGTGGTAGAGTACTTGACTTGAGCTGAAGAGCTCAGGGACAGCACCCAAGCCCAGAGTTCAAGCCCCACGACTGACAATAAAAAAAAAAAACAAAAACAAAAAAACAAGGCCTTCTTAAGACTTTCTTTCTTTCTTTTTGGGGGTGGGGTCTGGTCGTGGGGCCTGAACTCTGGGCCTGGGCACTGTCCCTCAGCTCTTCAGCTCAAGGCTAGCGCTCTACCACTTGAGCCACAGAGCCACTTCCGGCTTTTTTCTTTTTGCTTATGTGGTGCTGAGGAATCGAACCCAGGGCCTCATGCATGCAAGGCAAGCTCTCTACCACTAAGCCACCTTCCCAGCCCCTTCTTCTTTTTTTTTTTTTTATTTACTTTTTTTTTATTTTGGCCGGTCATGAGGCCTGAACTCTGGGCCTGGGTGTTGTCCCTCAGCTCTGCAGCTCAAGGCTAGCGCTCTACCACTGGAGCCACAGTGCCACTTCGGCTTTTTCTGCTTATGTGGTGCTGAGGAATCGAACCCAGGGCCTCATGCTTGCAAGGCATGCACTCTACCACTGAGCTACCTTCCCAGCCCCAAGACTTTATTTCTTAATCCTAAAGGGATTATATGTTGCTCACCTCAAGTCTTTGAATAAAGAGATACAATTTGACATTTTTCAATAGCTTTTTTTTTTTTTTTTGCCAGTCCTGTGGGGCTTGAACTCAGGCCTGGGCACTGTCCCTGAGCTTCTTTTGCTCAAGGATAGCACTCTACCATGTGAGCCACAGCACCACTTCCAGCCTTTTCTGTTTATGTGGTATACTGAGGAATTAAACCAAAGACTTCATAAATGCTAGGCATGCACTCTACCACCAAGCCACATTCCCAGCCCCTTTCACTAGCTTTTAACATTTCTTTCTTTCTTTCTTTCTTTCTTTTTTTTTGGGTCCAGTCATGGGGCCTGCACTCTGGGCCTGGGCGCTGTCCCTCAGCTCTTCAGCTCAAGGCTAGCACTCTACCACTTGAGCCACAGCGCCACTTCCGACTTTTTCCTTTTTGCTTATGTGGTGCTGAGGAATCGAACCCAGGGCCTCAGGCATGCAAGGCAAGTGCTCTACCACTGAGCCATCTTCCCAGCCCCAGCTTTTAACATTTCTGCAGACAACTCAAATATTTTACTAATAACGGTCTAAGAATTTTGTAATAACCAAATACATTATTGGATTATTATGAATAAACATGGTAGTAACAACAATATGTGTTATTTGCTAGAATCTGTTTCAGATTAGAAATTGGAAATATACTGACTGTCGTTCAGAATATTCTACATGAAATTCCAAAGTTTCCCAATGACACTGACAAGTAATTCAGTATTTCTGATATTTCCTAGTAGCTAGCACTCTGATGAAAAATATTCACAGCTTCCAAAGTCTAATGCATAAACATCTACCTTCTTACCTCTTGGTTAAACAGGGTCATCTTCCTGAAGATATAGGCAGGGTTTCCTTCTTCAGAGTGGCAAGTGACTTGGTAGCAGCCATAGGATGAACTTCCTATTGCATCTGGCCAATACTGGTGACATTTTACCTGATACCAATAATAGTAAATAAAAATAAAATTATGCCTGTAATCCTAGCTTCTCAGGAGACTGAGATCTGAAGATCGCAGTTCAAAGCCAGCCTGGGCAGGAAAGTCGGTGAGACATTTTTTTTGTTGGTTGTGGGGTCACAGTGCTACTTCTGGTTTTTTCTGCTTATGTGGTGCTGAGGAATAGAACCCAGGTCCTTATACATGCAAGGCAAGCACTCTACTACTGAACTACCTTCCCAGCCCTCTGTGAGACTTTTATCTCCAATTAACCACCAGAAAACCAGTAGTGGCACTGTGGCTCAATGGGTAGAGTGCTCACCTTGAGCTGAAGAGCTCAGGGACAGTGCCCAGGCCCAGAGTTCAAGCCCCACGACCGACCAAAAAATGTATTTAATTATACGTGCTTATTTTAAGCTCTATAAATTTTTCCCCCTGCTTGTCCTGGGGCTTGAACTCAGTCTAGGCACCATCCCTGAGTCTTTATGCTCAAGGCTAGTGCTGCACCACTTAAGGCATACCTCCATTTCTGATTTTTTGGTGGTTAACTGGAGATGAAGAATCTCACAACTTTCCAATCCCTCACTGGCTTTGAACTGCAGTCCTCAGAGCCCAGTTTCCTGAGTAGCTAGGATTACAGGCACAAGCTACCGGTGCCCTGCTAAAACGTTTTAATTTTTAAGACCTTTAAGCTTATGGAAAATGTAACTTATACAGCCTTGTGCTAGATCATTCTAATACTGACACACATACATAGACAGACACATGTGTGCACATATACACATCCTACCTGACAATACTGAAGTTATGGCTTGCTAGGCAGATGCTCTACCATTTGACCATACTTTTATTTTTATTTTTAAAGTTAGTTTGCAGGAAAAGGCAACTTCATATTGCAACCTATTACCTATACCTCCTTTGTAACTGGGATTACAATCATATATCACCATTCCCGTCTTGTAAGTTGAGATGGAGCTTTGCTTATTTCTTGCCTGGGATGGACTTAACAGAAATCCTCTGGATCTCCATCTCCAGAGTAGTCTTTTTCTGCATTTTGAGAATACAAGTATCCTGGAAGTGGTGCTGTGGCTCAAGTGGTAGAGTGCTTGACTTGAGCTGAAGAGCTGAGGGACAGACCCAGGCCCAGAGCTCAAGCCCCACGACTGACCGCCCCCCCTCCCCCAAAAAAAGAACCACACAGGGAATACAAGTATCCTAACCAGAATTTTTTTTTTGAGGGAGCTCTGAGAATTAACCCAGTACCGCTAGTTTTTGTTGTTGTTGTTAGCTCTAATATATAATGCATAAGCATTTATCTCAACCATTTAGAATATGCAATTATTTTTAGTATAGTTACAGGTGTATAACCATCCCTACCAACCACTTTTAGAACATTTTCACTATACAGAAAAGAATTCTTATCCCATCCCACCATCCTTTGTTCTGCAGAGTGAATCCAAGTACTCACTAATGGACTTTTTGTGCTAATAGAATTGCCTATTGTGGGCATGCTATATAAATGGAATTATACATGTGGTCTTTTTTTTGCCTGACTTCTTTTATTTAGTATGTTTTCCAGGCTCATCCACACTGTATCATGTATTTCATTCCTGTTTTACTTCCAAATAATATTCAATTATAGGATATACTACAGTTTTTCATTTATCTTTTGAGTTGTTTCTGGTTTATGGCTATTGAGTAATGGGCCAAGAATAGTCATGAACAAATTTTTGTGTGAACGTACATTTTCAATTCTCTTGGATGTATCCAGGAATGAAACTGTTATAGTTACTTTATGTTAATCTTTTTCTGTTTAACTTTCCCAAAGTGATTTAATCATTTTAGGAATCCATATCAAGTATATTAAAGGTTTCTGTTTTTTCCACATCATCATCAACACTTGTTATTATTTGTCCTTTTGTGTATGTGTGTGTGTGTGTGTGTGTGTGTGTGTGTATGGTGGTACTTTGAACTCAGAGGGCTTTTCACTTACCAGTCAGGCACTCTACCATTTGATCAAGGTCTCCAGACCTTATCTGTCTTTTTGGTCTAGCTATTTTACTGTTTATGAATTGTTATGTCATCATGATCCTTGATGTCTGATGCCAACATCTTTTCATGTGCTTAAGATATTGCTATACTTTTTTGAATAATTATCCATTCAAATCCTTTGCTCAGTTTTTTTTGTCATGGGACTTGAACTCTGGGCCTGAGCGCTGTCCCTCAGCTCTTCAGCACAAGGCTAGCTCTCTACCACTTGAGCTACAGCGCCACTTCTGGTTTTCTGGTGGTTTATTGGAGATAAGAGTCTCACAGACTTTCCTGCCCTGGCTGGCTTTGAACAGCAATCCTCAGATCTCAGCCTCCTGAGTAGCTAGGATTACAGGCATGAGCCACTGGCGCCTGGCTCTTTGCTCAGTTTTTAAACTAGCTTGTCATTTTATTGTTAAATTATTTGAGTTCTTTATATAGTCCAGGTGCATCCTATATATGTAAATGTTTTTAAATAATAATAATGGCTAACACTCATTTAACATGTTAATAAATGTAACTTTTGGGTATTTAGCTATGAAGATTTAATCATAAAAACCACAAAAAAGAAAATTAAAGGTTTCAAAAGATAAAATTAGTATATTTTAATTAAATATGCAATGTCTTTTTTTTTGTATTTTTGTTGCTTTTGTTTACTTTTTGTCTTGTTTGTAAGTTTATCTGCAATGTAATTTATTTATATATTTATCTTGTCAGCTCTGGGGCTTGAACTCAGGGCCTGGGCACTGTCCCTGAGCTTGTGCTCAAGGCTAGCACTCTACCACTTGAGCCTCAGCACCACTTCTAGCTTTTTTGGGCTAGTTTATTGAAGATAAGAGTCTCATGGAGACTTTTCTACCCAGGTTGACTTTGAACCATGATCCTCAGATCTTAAGCCTCCTGAGTAACTACGATTATAGGTGTGAGGCCAGCTTGCAGTGTAATTTTTAAAAAAGCTCAAGCAACGTATGAGATTCAACTATGACTTACTCTGCCACGTTCAACTTGTGTGGTCAACATTACAACCATGGAGGAGCCCTGTTCCCATGTCATTTGCCAAAAATCTGTACAAGTATGTGGTAATGGACCTTGACAAGCAATATACTGATTAATGATACTTGAAGAAGGAATTTCCATCTAAAAAGAAAAAAAATTAAAATAAAATCTTTTGCATTACTACTTTTTAACATAAGGAATGTGAAAAGTATTCACTTAAATTTTACATACCTGGCTTCGTAAACTGCAATCAGTAAAACACTATCAATACTTTCTTATTTTAGCCATAGAATATTTTTCTTGACAATGTCTAAATGTTATACATCTTTATCTTTCAATTAGTGGAAAGAGGGATTTAAGTATTTTCCAAAACATTTTGTATTTTTTGTTTTTTCATTGTAAGCCTGCCAAGTGCTGGGTTATAGGCATGTGCCACCATACATAGTACTATTATTATTATTTTTTGTTGGTCATGAGGCTTGAACTCTGGACCTGGGCGCTGTCCCTTAGCTCTTTAGCTCAAGGCAAGTGCTCTACCACTTGAGCCACAGCACCACTTCCAGTTTTCTGGTGGTTAATTAGAGATAAGAGTTTCACAGCCTTTCCTGCCCGGGCTGGCTTTGAACCGTGATCCTCAGAGCTCAGCCTCCTGTGTAGCTAGCATTACAGGCATGAGCCACTGGTGCCTGGCACTATTATGGTTTTAACAACACACCAATAGTCTATTTCAGAGGCAGAGAGTTGGTACAGAAATATGAAAATTGTATCTGTAAAAAGCTGATTGCTACCTTTTCTGAGGTAGAAAAGTTCTACCATTTATGTTAGTTTGAATTTTGCGTATGAAACAACTTTAGTGGCTATTATTAGAAGGCTATTTTAAGTAAGTTTTCAGAAGGTGGTAGGATATTAAAAATTGGAAAAGATAAGCCACCAACTTACTATATTTGAGGTTAAAAAAAAAGAGGTGAAATATACATACAACAATTCAAAGAATACCAAACAGAGAGAAGGAAGTCTCCTTCTAATCCTAGCTTCTACTTAACACTCAGAAGGTCAATCTTTGTTATTAGTTTCTAATACACTTATTCTTTAAATATACAACACATAATGTACATGTAAAACTATCTTCTCAAATGTACAAGTCGTTATGTCGAAAAACAAACTTTACAACTTTGGTGGAGAGGATGGGGGAAGGAAGGGATGGGAAGGGGAAACAAAGGAGGAAGCAACAATGCTTGATAAGAAATGTAATCGTTATCTTGCCCATGTAATTGTTACCCCCGCTGTACGGTATTTTCACAATAAAAAAAATAATCTCACAAAGCCATAAACAGACAAAAATTTAAATAAATACAATTAGTACTGGCTTAAAAAAAGCTATCTTCTCAAGGGAGGGTAACATCATTCAAAAAGAATGTACTCATTACCTAACTTATGTAACTGTAACCCATCTCTGTAAATCACCTTTACAATAAAATTTTAAAAAACAAACAAAAAACAAAACTTCCTTATTTTTCTGTAAACAATTAAAATAATACCATATATTCTTCTGAATCATTTTCTTTGAGATATGTCAAGTTAGTGCATAAAATTACTACTTTTAATGAATCCTATATAAAATATGCTATAATTTATTTAACAGATATTCAAGGCATTGCTAATTTATTTGTTACCAGTTAGAAGGCTGAACTAATAATTTTGTCAATCTAATGGCTTTTGTGCAAATGTAAAAAAATCCATATGGACAGCAGGAATAAATGAGAATTGCTGGGTCAAAACATGTGTGTTTAAATTTCTGGCAGTGACAAATTGCTTTCTCAAGAGATTCTACCAATTCATACTTTCACCAATAATGTATGATGAATGCATTCCCCTTTATACTCATTAATATATAATCTTTTATCCCAAACTGTAAAACTCTCAATCCTCTGAAATGTACTTGATAACAAAATCTGATCTCTTCTGAACAAATACTTTTACTCTATTAGTCCCACTTAGTTGAAAAATCCATAGTTTGCAAATTACAAATTACAAGACACTTCTCTCATAATCTCTTAGATATGTTATTTGTACAATATTATATTTATGTTATATGCAATGAGTAGCTCTGTGTGTGTGTGTGCGCGCACGCGCATGCACGCGCACGCCAATCCTGGAGCTTTAACTCAGGGCCTGGGTACTGTTCTTGAGTTTTTGTGCGCAAGGCTAGTGCTCTATCAATGAGCCATAGTGCCACTTCTAGCGGTTTTTTTTTTTTTTTGCCAGTCTTGAGGCTTGAACTCAGGGTCTGGGCACTGTCCCTGAGCTTCTTTTGTTCAAGGCTAGCACTCTACAACTTGAGCCAAAGTGCCACTTCTGGCTTTTTCTGTTTATTTGGTACTGAGGAATCAAACCCAGGGCCTCATGCATGCTAGTCAAACATTCTACCACTAAGCCACATTCCCAGCCCCTTTCTAGCTTTTTTTTTGAAGGTAATTGGAGTCAAGAGTCTTGCAGGCTTTCCTGCCCAGGCTAGTTTCAAACCATGATTCTCAGATCTCAACCTCCTGAGTAGCCACAATTACAGGTGTGAACCATTGATGTTAGCCTAAAAGTTCAAAAAATCTGAATCTTAAAGTGTATTTCATTCTAAAGTTTCAGGTAAAGGATATGGACCTGTATAAAGTATTATCACACTTTTGGGCTTTCAATCTCATAGTTAAATAATAGTTCTGCCAGACACAGGTGGCTCATGCCTATACTCCTAGTTACTTAGGAAGCTGAGATCTGAGGATAATAGTTCAAAGCCAGCCTGAGCAGGAAAAGCCATGAGATTATGATATCCAGTTAGCCACCAAAGAGCTGGAAATAGAACTGTGGCTCAAGTGGCAGAGTCCTAGCCTTGAGTAAAGCTCAGGGAAAGTGGCCAGGCCTCAGAACTTGCACATAAACTGAATGTATTTTGTGTTTGATATTTATTATTTTTGTGTTTTAATGACATTGTGGTTTTGCTACAAAAATAAAACAGGAACAAGTGATTCTCCTGCCGCAGTCTCCGAAGTGTCGGGTGCCACTGTACCTGGCTATTTAGAGGTAATATAAAAACTTCTTTTCTGAAATATTAAATTCTCAAATACATAGGAGAAGTATAGCTTAATGAGATGATATATAAATTTACATTACAATAATCGGGAAGTGAGGACGAACATGACAACTACTGAAGCTGAGTGCTGTGTACATGCAGGCCATTTAACTTTTGTCCTTCTGCACATTTGGAATTTTAAGTTATATAAAAAAGTAGTGATCCTTTTTTCTCTTAGGGGTAAAGGAACCCTCCTTGCAATGAATATATATTAGAGAATTGACTCAACCTACTCATTAGGTAGCCTGTTTATGTCCAGTGATTTAAAAGGCTACCTTTACTATAAACAAAATTCTAATATTAATACTTGAAACTATTTCTGGACTGACAGTTCTATTTCCTACTTTATCTGTATATTAAAATGTCTGCAACCAATTATTTTCTTTAATATTACTTTGACGTTATCCAGTATCTGAAAATTTTAATATTCTATTAAAGTTAGACTTTCAATAAAAAGGAGTTAACCTCAAAGTTTATAGTGGTCCTTTATTATTTGAAATAAAACCATAATTTTAAAACTTACATTTATATAGTTTGCATTGATGTAGTCTTCACTGCCTTTTAAAATAACCCGTGTAGCATCATCTGAAAAAATTGAAAAGAAACAATGGGTTTTTTGTTTTGGTGCTTGTGATTAGAGTCTTGCACATCTAAGCAAGAAGCTCTATTACTTAGCTATTCCCCAGACCAGAAATGATACGTCAATGAAGTTATTAAACTTAACAGAGATGATAGATACTTACAAGGTGAAATATCTCTATATCTATTTTTGGAAATGTTCTGAGGTAATTTGGCACAACACATTGTCATTCCAGGTTTTTTCCGATATAGTTGCTTAAAAGAAAAAAAAAATCCCAATAAGCCTGATTATCAACAAATTCATTGTTTTTTAGACTTGTTTCTATAACAACAGGAAATAGGCTCTCTGACTACTTCATCTACACTATGATATATATTAGGCTAGAAATGAACCAAAATTGTGAAACTTAGTTCTATAGTTGCTGACATGGATTATTACATTTTAAAAAATGGTAAAAGAAATAAATAATAATTTTACTCACTGAAGTATTTGATATTTTGAATACCTAGTCTGCAGAATACATTTAGCTTTTATTTAGTTTGGAAGTATATACAGCCAGAAATTGAGAACTTTCATTTAAAAGAAAAGTTGAGGGGCTGGGAAGGTGGCTCAGTGGTAGAGCGCTTGCCTTGCATGCATGAGGCCCTGGGTTCAATTCCCCAGCACCACATAAGCAAAAAGAAAAAAAGCCGGAAGTGGTGCTGTGGCTCAAGTGGTAGAGCGCTAGCCTTGAGCTGAAGAGCTGAGGGACAGCGCCCAGGCCCAGAGTTCAGGCCCCACGACCGGACCCCCCCCCCCCCAAAAAAAGAAAAGTTGACATGAGTTATAAGTATACATACCCTTATCTATAACATATACTTCAGAGTAATAAATATTCAAAATTGCCATTTTAAAAACCACATGAAAATCCTTACAAATTTATAAAATAAAAAGTAAGTTCATTTAATATAAAGCCTTTCAAAATCCACTGCATACTCACTAATCAATACACTGATTATACACCTTGAAACAAGGTGTACCTATTTTGTTAAGGGGCGGGGGGGGGGGTTGACAAAATGATGGGAAGACAAATGGGTGAACAGTCATTATTGTATTCAATGTACACATGTAACTATGGAAGCTGGTAACGTGAGAGGATAGGTGAAGTTAGGAGAGATGAGGGAGAAGGCTGGAAAGGGTTAACACTGATCAAGATGCATTATATTTATAAACTGACTACAGGGACAAATATAGCCAGAATAATCAATGTACACATGTGATAAAGGTAGTAGAAAATGAGAAGTGAAGGGACATAGGATGGAAGGAAATGATGGAAGGTGTGACTGATCAAGGAGCACACTGGACACTTAAGTAGACATGTTAAATTGTAATGCCCTTTTGAAGTTTAGAAAATAAAAACAAAGTACCTAAGAAGTATTAATAAGATGAGAGGTTTGGTTACAAGTGACAAAAATCTGAGAAAGATTACAAAAGACAAGGTATGAATATAAAATATTAGAGCTTTTTTCTTTTAACTCAGGATTTTAATCTTTGTTTTGTAGAATAATGTTCTTGCTACATGTAGCCCAGACTAGCCTTGAGCTCATAATCATCCTGCCTATACCTTCTGAGTGCTAGAATTATATGCAAGTATCACTTTACTCAGCTCAGAGTATTTTAACTCTCCAATAGTCTATCCATAGCTTCTACCTCTCATTAAAAAAAAAAATCAGTTTGCTCCAACTTTCTAAAGGATATCCATTCATATAATCATAACTAGGATGACAGTAACAATGAAAAAAAACTTCAAATACTTTTTGTCCAACATATTTCCAGATATTGCTTTATTTTATTAATCAAGAAGTAGTGCAGGGCTGGGAAGGTAGCTCAGTGGTAGAGCGCTTGTCTTGCATGCCTGAGGCCCTGGGTTCGATTCCTCAGTACCACATAAGCAAAAAGAAAAAAGCCAGAAGTAGCGCTGTGGCTCAAGTGGTAGAGCGCTAGCCTTGAGCTGAAGAGCTGAGGGACAGCTCAGAGTTCAGGCCCCACGACCAGACCAAAAACAAAAAAAAGTATTACAAAGAAACCACCAAACTAGTAAGAACATATGGGGGGCAAACCCCTTTTCTGGGCAAATCCTTTTTCTGTTCGATAACTACTTACATCAAATTGTGTCAGGACGGTTCCAGTGATAAGCCCCTCAGCTAACTGGATCATTGACTCCCGCAGAGAGTGGTCATCTTGATGGATACTATCTAGTGGGCCTTTCTCAGGAATGTATTGGAAGTCTGGCTCATTTTCTAACTTTTCTTCCACTACATCATACACAGCTAAAATAAAACAAAAATACAGATGGAATTCATAACATGGAATTCATAACAATCTTCTAGACATGTTCTACAGTTTCATATCATAAAAATAACCCATTTTTGAGTAATTATATCAGATTTAAGTCTGGTGCTATTGTGTAGGGATTGAGAACAACTGTGGAGTTTGAAGGACTTCTACTGTCTATCTGGGGGAAAACAAGGGTTCTTGGTCATATGATAATGTCTGTAACATGGAAAGACATTTAGGTAAAGAGGGCCTAGGAGGGCTATGACTTAGGTGGTATGTCTGCCTAGCAAGAATTAGTCCCTAGTAAGAGTTCAAACTCTAGTACTGCTACAATAGAAAGAACCTTGAAACAACAACAGCAACAAAAAGGCTAATTGTGGTGGCTCCCATCTGCAATCCTAGCAATTTGGGAGGTAGAGATTGGGAAGATCACAATTTAAGGAAAACCAGTACAGGCAAAGCATTTTTTAAACTATATTATCTAAGCCAACAAAAAGCTGGATGAAATGGAATATCCCAGCTACTTGGAAAGTATAAATTAGGGAATCATGAGGCAGGTGTTGATGTCTTATGCCTATATTCCTACGTACTCTGGAGGCTAAGATCCAGAGAATCATGGTTCAAGGCTAGCCTGCAGAAAATGCTATGAGAGGGTTGGCAAGGTGGCTCAGTGGTAGAGAGCTTGCCTTGCATGCCTGAGGCCCTGGGTTCGATTCCTCAGCACCACATAAGCAAAAAGAAAAAAGCCGGAAGTGGCACTGTAGCTCAAGTGGTAGAGCGCTAGCCTTGAGCTGAAGAGCTGAGGGACAGCGCCCAGGCCCAGAGTTCAGGCCCCACGACCGGACCCAAAAACAAAAACAAAAAACAGAAAATGCTATGAGACTCTTGTTTCTAAAATAATCCATAAAAAGCTGGGCTAGAGGTGTGACTCAAGTGATACTGAGTCAGCAGACCAAGTAGGCCAAGCAAACATAAGGCTGAGTTCAAATCCTGGTACTGCCACTCCCCATCCCCCCCAAAAGAACTGTGGCCCAGGTGGGCTAGAGTATAAATGTGATACCTTATCTGAAAAATAACTAAAACAAAAGGAATACCCTCAACCTCCCCCCCCGCCCCCAAAAAATCCAAAAAAACCCAACTGAGTTCAAGCCCTAGTATCAACAAAAGGAAAGAGAATAAGATTGGGTAGAGGAAGAAAAAAGGGAGAAAAGGAAGAAAAAAATAAGAGGGAGAGGAAGAGGTTTTATTTGTACTTTTATCTTACATCCCCATAACTTGTGGGACCTAAAAGTACAAATAAAATCCTCTATATCATAAGTCTAAATAAGCTAAGTTACAAGTAAATTGAATGAAGCTAAACAAGTAATTTCAGAGCTGGGAGCTGGTGGCTCACATCTGTAATCCTAGCTACTAAGGAGGCTGAGATGTGAGAATCATGGTTCAAAACCAGCCCAGGCACGAAAGTCCGTGAGACTCTTATCTCCAATAAACCACTAGAAAACTGGAAGTGGTGCTATGGCTCAAGTGATACAGAGCTTGCCTTGAGCTGAAGAGTGCAGGGACAGCACCCAAGCCCAGAGTTCAAGCCCTACGACTGATCAAAAAAGAAAAAGAAAATAATTTCAGGTATCTAGTAATACATGCAAACATGCAGATATAAGCTCTGTCTACACTGTTTCCTGTGAAACTTGATAGCACCTAGAAAACAGTAAAAGAGGTCTTTGCCTTGGTTCCATATGTTATTTTTTCATTGTGAAAATACTGTACAGAGGGGTTACAATTACATGGGCAGGATTCTGCTCTGCTTCTTCTTCAGCTGTATCCTTTCCAGCGAGGTCAGGATTTTTTTTTGGTGGCAGTACTGAGGCTTGTATTCAGGGTGTGGGTACTGTTTCTTAGCTTTTTCAACCAAGGCTAGTGTTCTACCACTTGAACCACACCTCCACTTTGTTAATTAGAGATAAGAGCCTCTGGGACTTTCCCGATTGGGCTGGTCTTGAACTAGGATCCTCAGATCTAAGCTTCCTAAATAAAGATTAGAAGTACAAGCACCAGATCCTCCTCCCACTCCCCACCTTCTTTCTTTCTATGCTGGTACTTGCGCTTGAATTCAGGGCCTGGTCCCTTAGTTTTTTTGCTCAGGGTTGGTACTCTACCATTTGAACCACACCTCCACTTTGGCTTTTCACTGGTTACTTAGGTAAGAGTTTCATGGTCTTCCTTGCCCGGGCTGGCTTTAAGCCTCAATCCTCAGATCTCAGCCTCCTGAGTAGCTAGGATTACAGCTATGAGCCACTGACTCTGTGGCTGAGGTCAAGGGAGATGAGAAGCAATTGCCTGTAACTTTCCTCAGCTCTCACATCTCTGTTAAAGTGGCCCTGAGCCCACTTCCTAAGTTCCTTTTAGGGAATTTTCTATAGGTCCATTTCTCCCAGATGTAAATCACTCAGTATGTGTGAATCCCATGGCTCATATTTGCTAAGCTTAAGAGGGTATTTACATATATGAGAACAACCATTGTTATTGTTTTTGTTATTAAAGTTCTTAGCTGCTATTATCAAGAGAAAATGGAGTAAGTAAAAGAAAGTGAGAAGAGGGCTGGGAATGTGGCTTAGTAATAGAGTGCTTGCGTAGCATGCATGAAGCCCTGGGTTCGATTCCTCAGTATCACATAAACATAAAAGCTGGAAGTGGCACTGTGCCTCAAGTGGTGGAGTACTAGCCCTGAGCAGAGAGTCTCAGGGACAGTGCCCAGGCCATGATTTCAAGCCCCAGGACTGGGGCGGGGGAGTGGGGGGGAAGTGAGATTATTCTGGGAATAAAAATTATAGACGTTTCATATGACGGAAAATGGTTAATAATGAGTGAATTGCCTTTGTAGTAGGTCTAAATATTCAAATTTCTTGAAAAGTCAAATAGAATATTCTGGTGAAGTCCGTTTGATCTTAGAAAACTAATTCTAGACTGTAAATGGGAAGAGTACAAAGTAGAGGAACAAACTGAAAATGAAAATACTGTCATAAGTAAGAAATAAAAAGGAATTTTTGCCAGGTGCTAGTGGCTTACATTTGTTATCCTAGCTACTCAGGATGCTAAGATCTAAGGATCGTGGTTCAAAGCCAACCTGTGCTGGATAATATATGAGACTCTTATTTCCAATTAACTACCAGAAAACTGAAGTTTTTACTTCATTGTTACTCAACTGGTAGAGCGCTCACCTTGTTTTGAAGAGTTCAGGGAGAGTGTCCAGACCCTGAGTTCAAGCCCCATGACCACCACTACCACCACCACCAATAAGTGCTCTATCACTTTGAGCTACCGGGCCACTTCTGGTTTTTGAGTGGTAAATTGGAGATAAGAATCTCAAAGGGAGTTTTCTGTCCACAATGGTTTCCATCTGTGATCCTCGGATCTCACCCTCCTGAGAAGCTAGGGTTACAAGTGTGAGCCACCGGTGCGGGCTTAAAAAAATACTTTTCTTTTTTTTTTTGAGACACAGTCTTACTATTAGCTCGAGCCAGCTTTAAACTTACAATCTTGAGTGTTGAGGATTACAGGCTTACACCACCACAGTAGAGTAGATTTTGTTTTGCAAACTTTTGCAGGGTTAGATGTGTAGGTGACAGGAAGAATTCTATTTACATTTTACTTTTTTATGGTATATATTTAATAACTGGTAACACATAATAGCCAATAATTACTATGACTTAAAACTATGATTAAAAATAAACTATTCAGAAAAAAAAGGGGAGAATGTTTGGTGCTGGCATATGGGAATTTTTTTTTTGGTGGAGACAGATAATAATCAATGGAACTTGAAAACAATGCTTTACAAATACAGTTACAGTGGAAAAAGCAAGGAGTTTTCCCAGCAAAGCTAGCCAGTATAAAAAAAAATTGAAATGGAATTGATCTTATTTTGCAGAGCATTCCATGCCAGAATTAGGAATAACTGTATTGAAGGGAGATGGGACTTTCAGCTCAATTTAGTCAGATATCCAAAGCTGAAATGTTTCTTTAGGAGTCAGAGTGCTCTGTGTATCTGAAGTCTCTGGAGAGGAAACCAATATAAAAGATGAAGAGTGTGAAGTGTTCAATATTTCTCCACATTTGGGACCTTGTGATCATAAATGGACAAGTCAGCTGTCCAGACCAGGGCATGACATGATGCAACTAGTAGAAATGATCTACTGAATACAGGATTACAAAAGTGTTCTAACTATAGCTTATTCTAGAGCTTTCTTGAACTGCAACAGAGATAAAAATTTATTCAATTATTCATTCATTCATTCTTTTTTGAGCATATAATACTATTATTAAGGCAACTGGTGGGACAGGGAGGTCTTTTCAGCTATGGTAGGATTAGGAGAGAAGCCTTTCAGCAGAGGTCATTTTAACAGGGTCTTGAATGAAGTGAGGGTATGAAGTCACACAAAAATTATCAAGTTTCAGCCAGGCGCTGGTGGCTCACGCCTGTAATCCTAGCTACTCAGGAGGCTGAGATCTGAGGATCCCGGTTCAAAGCCAGCCCGGGCAGGAGAGACTGTGAGACTCCTATCTCCAATAAACCACCAGAAAACCGGAAGTGGGGCTGTAGCTCAAGTGGTAGAGTGCTCGCCTTGAGCTGAGGGACAGCGCCCAGGCCCAGAGTTCAAGCCCCACGACTGACAAAAAAAAAAAAAAAAAAATCAAGTTTCTTGGGACCCTCAGAGGATGGGAACTCCTGCTGGAAAACACAGTAGCTCCTAGTAGGGCATTACCACTCAGGCTTTCTATGGAAGAAAGGTTGCTTTTACATCCTAGTAAATGAATCTTGGAAGAAATATATTTCCCTTCCTTTGGACTTTCCCTGCTAGATGAATATGACCAGATACAGCCAGAGAATGACACTCATGATTCCCTACATGCATTGAAAGGATTGGTTGGACTTCAGATAATTTGCCATGAACACAGCTCCTTACTTTACTAAGAAAACCCATGCCTGGTCCCTTCAACCTGTATGGGGACAAGCAGATGGGTGTATTGCAATGTCCAAACAGATGTTGGATGAACCATCACATAGGTTCATTCTGTATCTTTTAGGGGAGGGAAGCAAAAATTGGCTGTGGTGGACAAATAAAAAACAACTCTTGAACTCCTTAAAAAAAATCAAAAAGCATTTGTTGGGGGAGAGGGAATATCAAGACCAAAGGAACAGTATGAAAATAGGTATAGAATACAAGAGTATGAAAGACTGAGTGTGAGATAAGAATCCATTATACTTGGAGCAGGAAACTGACATGACTTCCATGTGGCTACTGTGTCCAGTAATAAACAATAACAATTATGATAATAACAATTATGATAAATAGCCAGTGCTACATAAAGTACTTAAAGTACTTACCATTAGGTCGAACTAGAAGCACAAGTTCTCCAGAATGTCTCTCACAGCTAGCTTTAATAAACAGGACAACTTGATCATGGGTATGCTCTGCAATGTCCCTACCATTAATCAGTACAACTTGGTCCCCTTCATTCAATCGAGGGACACAGAGGTCTGCCTGTAATGTAATGCAGACAAGATTTCAGATTTGCATGTGGTTTTTCAAAGAATGGGGGTATGGTTTTTAGCTGACTCTATAGAAGGAGAAGTAAAACTACATGTGAAAAAAGTATCTAGTCATTTATTCTAAAAGCAGAAATCTAGTTTTCTCATGAAGGTTGTATTCCTTTCCTTTCTTCAACAAATTCTTTTATGATGATCTAATATTTGCTTAAAGATACAGGTAAGACTGATTTCAAGGTGTATACATATAGGCAGCCCTAAATTTCTATTATATATATATATATATATATATATATATACATATATATGTATATATATATATATATATAAAATTTTAGTAGCCATGGCATAAATAACACTAGTTCCCCCAAAACATGGCTCAAATTCTAGTTAATATGGTGTACTAATTGTGAATGTGCATAAGTGCAAACTTTCCTGCTGCTCACTTTTCAGCAAAAAAAAAAAAAAAAAAAAGACACATGGTAGAATGAATGACCAATCCCTTGTCAGTGCACATCTGTCATTCAGTTCATGGCCAGAAAGAAAAACATACAGTTATCTTCTCCTTTTTTTTCAACGGTTATCCAGCACAAAAATGAGTAAATGAAAAAAAAGGGGAGGGGAGGGGAAACTGACCAAAAAAGATGAAAACAACACAGATACAAATCATGACTGACCATGGAAGTAAAATCTAAATAAAGCATAAAATTATAGAAGAGCTATATGATCATGGAAATGTGGATACTACTGAGATTTGAGAGACACTAGATACACAGCCAAAGGAATTCTTGGAGTGATTTTCCACAACAGTACAAGTTCCCAGGAGAAAATGTTAAAAACAGATTTAAACTGAGAGATGATCATGACAATATAAAATGATGCTTACTGAAAGAAACTCCAAGAAATTTTTTATTTTACTTTTTGTGGTGTTTATTTTCCCTTTTATGTTGTTGTTTTTGATTTCTGTACCTTTTGTCTTTTTTTTTTTTTTGGGGGGGGGGGGGTGTCCGGTCGTGGGGCCTGAACTCTGGGCCTGGGCGCTGTCCCTCAGCTCTTCAGCTCAAGGCTAGCGCTCTACCACTTGAGCCACAGTGCCACTTCCGGCTTTTTTCTTTTTTCTTATGTGGTGCTGAGGAATCGAACCCAGGGCCTCATGCATGCAAGGCAAGTGCTCTACCACTGAGCCACCTTCCCAGTCAGGCTGGGAAGGTGGCTCAGTGGTCGGGCTGGGAAGACACTATGTTGAAAATCAACTATACAACTTGGGAAGAAGGGGGCTCAGGAGGGAAAACAACTGGGAGAAAATGAGGGAAGAAGTGACACTGTTCAAAAAGAAATGAATTCAATGCCTGACTTATGTAATTGTAATCCATTTGTATATCACTTTTTAAATAAAAATTAAAAAAAAACCCACAACAGCCTATTGTATACTTTAAGTTTTATTAGAAAAAAGCAAGTCTATTCAAATTACTTACATAAGTTTCCGAAGAAATAAAAAAATACTACTTTCCAAGCCACCTGGCACTGGTGGCTCAGGCCTGTAATCCTAGCTATTCAGGAGGCTGAGATTTGAGATTGTTTTGAAGCCAAGCTGGGCAGAAAAGTCCCTGTGAGACTCTCATTTCCAATTAACCACTCAAAAACTGAAATTGGTGCTTTTACTCAAGGTAGTGACCTTCCCCCACACTCCTAATACTACTTTTCAATATTTGTGATGTTTTGAATTACAGGGTTATTTTTGTTGTTGTTATTGTTTGAGCTCAAAGCTAGCACTCCACCACTTGAGCCAGAACTCCACTTCCAAATTTTTGGTAGTAAACTGGAGATAAGAACCTCAAGTACTTTCCTGTCTGAGCTAGATTCAAACAGTGATCCTGAAGTCTCAGCTTCCTGAGTAGCTAGAATTACAGGTATGAGTTGCCAGTACCTGGCTCAGAATAGTAATTTTTCATTTCTTAAACTTTTAAAAGAAATAGTAAGATTTTGATGCTTAGACAAAAGAAAAAAATTAAGGATATTTGCAATTTTTATAATTATCTGATAAATCCAGAGCACAATTTTATCTTATATGGCCATTCTTACAGTCTAGCATTATTGTGCGAGGTACAAACTGTTTATACTTTATTGAGCAAATAGTTCAGTAATTCAGATAAAAGAGAGAAGAGAAATAGGACAGTTTATACTGGAGATATAGCAATGAAAACATATGAGCCTCAAATATAAAGCGTAATAGGCCAGGAAAAGGAAATGTTGACACAGTCTTACAATAAAGGGAACTTCTTGTAGTGATGCCGTGAACAAATAAAAACATAACTACTTAAATTCATTTTAAACACAAATTCCATGAACTCCATCATGGTAGTGTCAGTGAAAAGAACACAGGTTTAGAAGCTAAGTTCTTCCTCTGCTCCTTATGAAATGTATGATCTTAGATACTGGAAACTCTGAAAACAAAACAGATATGTACTCTATTTTGTACAGTATTTTTTATAAGGAAATATTCAAATTTAAGGATACTATTATACTACAGTATATATAGAAGACATTTTCATATATTCCCTTATGAGAGCAGGATTTACTTAAAATTTTTGTTGAACTCACAGGTGTTCCTGGTGCTACTCGGGACACAATCACAGGCATCTTCTGATCATATCCTCCCTTGAAAAGAGAACAATTTAAATATTACCATGTTAAAAACACATTAGTTTTTCTCTCTTTTTTTTTTGTTGATCGTGGGGCTTGAACTCTGGGCTTAGGTGCTGTCCCTGTGCTCTTCAGCAAAAGGCAAGCACTCTACCACAGCACCACTTCTGGTTTTCTGGTGGTTAGTTGGGAGATAAGTCTCATGGACTTTCCTGTCTGGGCTGGCTTTGAACTGTGATCCTCAGATCTCAGCCTCCTGAGTAGCTAGGATTACAGGCGTGAGCCACCAGTGCCCTGTCAACACATTAGCTTTAAAAATAGTACATTGAGCAAAGGAAGGGGGGACATTATCCAAAGAGAAATGTACTCATTACCTGACTTATGTAACTAACTCCTCTGTAATCACCTTTATTTATATGTAACTAACTCCTCTGTAATCACCTTTATTTATTTTGAAATGTAAAAATCACTTTTATTGTGTTAAAACTATTCCTTAATAAGCAAGCAGTTATTCATGTGAAGTGTCTAGAAAACAGATTTATGACTGCATTAACCTTGCCCTTAACTACAGACTTAGGAACTAGTTCCACAAACAACAACACCCTATTTCTTAGAGAGTTGCTAAAAGTTGATGAAACCGAGAACTTGGAAGGTATTTTCCCTTAGCATTACAAGACAGATGCAGGATGGACAGCTTCTCTTGGATCTAAATCTTTATGACAGTTCAAATATATACCACCTTTATAATAACAATTTAAGAAAGGGAAAATATAAACTTGAGATTACCTTCACATTGAATCCAAATCTTCCATTTTCATCTGGTTTCATTCTGATCAGAACAAGATTATCATGTGGAATACCACCATTAGGCTTGAAAAGATAAAAACAACATTTTTTCATTGGTAATTTTTCCTTTAGATACATACACAATATACAGCATACTTTTTGTTTATTGTTGTTATCTATAATGCATAAATAATCTCAATTCTGGTAGAAATGTTAGTTTAGGAAAGTAAATTTCTTTGACTAGTAACTTGCAGATACATTCTGTCATAACTTCTTGCCACTACATTGACAAAAAGATCACTGGCAACCAGAAAGAATTTGCTGTCTCTATTTCCTACCAGTTAGGTTTTCATCTTCATCATTCTGCCACAATTGTTTAAACTAAGGAAACAAAGAACTTAATATTGTTAAACCCCTTTTTCTCTCAATACCTCCTCCTTCCCTCCTCTGCTATGATTTCCTCTGAAAGTTCTTTCAACATACATATTGCATTAACTCAGAGCCTCATGGTCTCTCACTAAGTTTTTATTGTTTACAGCTGGTGCTCTACCACTTGAGCCACTTTACCAAAAATAAAACCTCTCCTGGTTTTACACTGGTTACAGTAAGTGGAAATAAGTTTCTCAGATTTGTCTGCTCATGCTGGCTTAAACCACTGTTTTAAAATCTCAGCCTTGTAAATTACTATTATAGGAGTACGTCATCAGTGTCCAATTATAAGACTATAAATTATTAGTGTGTGTGCATGTATGTGTGCATGCATGTGTGTGTGTGTTTGTGTGTGTTGGCCGTGGGGCTTGAACTCAGTATAAATTATCTAAATATTTCCAAAAACCTAAACAAAAGTCTGATCTAAGGAATTATCTAAGTCCAATTAGTGGTACTTAATAGATTAGTATTTTGTTCTGAAGCACAAATGTGTTTTATATACTGAAATTAACACAAATTTGTTAGGTGCCTAAACTTGTAAAGTGACAGGCATTTTTTTCTTGTTCGTTGTGGGGCTTGGACTCTAGATCTGGGTGCTGTTCCTGAGTTCTTCAGCTCATGGTCAGCGCTCTAGCACTTGAGCCACAGTGCCACTTCTGGTTTTCTGGTGGTTAATTGGATTTAAGAGTCTCATGGACACTGCTGCCTGGGCTGGCTTTGAAAGGCAATCCTCAGTTCTCAGCCTCCTGAGAAGCTAGGATTACAGGTATGAGCCACTGGTGCCCAGCTGTGACAGACATTTTTTTTTCAGGCAGTTTATAAATAAAAATAAAATAAAATGAAATTTCTGATGGCTCATGCCTGTAATCCCAACTGCTCAGGAGGCTGAGATCTAAGAATTGCAGCTCCGAGCCAGCTTAGGTAGTAAAGTCCATGAGACTCTCCAATTAACAATTAAAAAAGCCAGAAGTGGAGCTGTGGCTCAAGTGGCAGAATGCTAGCCTTAAGCAACAACAACAATAACAACAATAAGAACAAAGAAAAGAAAAATCCCAGGGATAGCACCCAGGCTCTGAGTTCAAGTCCCAGGACAAGCAAAAAAAAAAAAAGGAAATGTCATAATTTAGTTACTTCATGATAAGAATTCATCACTAGAAATTAGAAAGTACTATAATTTATAACTAAAATATGCAATAGTACAAAACAAACTACATTTAAAAAGTTGAAGAAAAGAAAGTAAGACACTACTTACTGTAGACTTTTCAGGGGAAGATGGAACATCAAATGTTTCACTAGTATGGTTTTCCAGATCTTGTTGAGAATGTGAGTAATAAATTTGGTTCCAACTGTTTTTCTTAGATTGTTTGGGTGGTAAAGCTGGAGGCTGCCCATCTTCAGGTGTTTCTTGTGATCTAGGTAAGAAAAAAGGAAGAAGAAAATTATTTTGGAAAGTTATCATCATCATCATTATCATCATCATCATATCATTATGAACTTGAACTCAGGGTTTGGGCACTGTCCCCAGCTTTTCTGCTAGGCTCTAACAGTTGAGCCACAGCTCTACTTTTGGCTTTTTGGTGGTTAATTGGAGAGTCTCATGGACTTTCCTGCCTGGGCTGGCTTCAAACCATGGTCCTCAGATATAGCTTCCTGAGTGGCTAGAATTATAGTTGTAAGCTACCAGCACCCAGCTCAATTATTATATTTTAAAGTCAAATGACCCAAATACTTACAATGGCTAGTGGAGACATGCTTTAGGTACTATATTTACTTGCAAATGGCACCTTTTATCCAAACCTTTCTTACTTTGAAGTAGTAAACCTAATACCTAATCAACTATGTTGTACAATATACTTCAAGTATTTCTATGATGATATTAACTTGCTCTATCTATCGATGGATCGACCGACCGACCAACCGACCGACCGACCTACCTACCTATCTTTCCAAAAACATTTTAGAGTTTTTCAGTAGAGTCAGGAATAACCAGAGAATAAGGCAGGAACTTACTAACAAAGAGAAATCAGAACTGAGAACTGGGGCTATTTGACAGAGAAAGCACTGGTATAGTCTAAAGAACTTTAAATAAAAAGTATGCAAATCATGTATCTAATAAACGTCTAACATCCAAGAAAAAAATACCCTTTTGACTGACTTATTCTTAGGCAAGCGCTCTACCACTGAGCCACCTTCCCAGTCCAACTGTGTCCAATTTTTATCAACAGGAATTGTCAAATAGAGCTAAGTTATGAGGGACAAATTTCAAGGCAGAAATTGCAGCTTTTAAGAACAAACGTGGTATATATAAATATAGTAACAATACTTGTGAGTTTTTCACAAAGGACAGAAGGAAGAACTAGTGATTCACTTTATGTCCTAGGAAGCAGAGTTATCTATGCTTGGCTATACGATTTGCTTTGGCCAATGGACAGAAGTGGTATGTACACCTGAAAATAGACAGTTATGAAATAATCTAAAGGTCTTACGGTGATGATTCCAGCACAATGCTATTAGCTTGTGTTGATGATGGAGATCTTTCATTCACAAAAACTTCACTGGCAGAAGGGTGAACCACGTGGTCTACCAAATGACCAACTGAGGATGGTCGTACCCGGTTCCCCTCTTGTGTGAATACAGAATTTCGGCTGAATGAAGGAGAGAAGTAGAATAAAAACATGCTTTGATTCAATTTTTCCAAGGGTCTTAATTATATGGTTGCACGAGAAAGTAGGTGTATGTTTTTAATACTATGTTATTCTGATGTAAACAGTGTGACACAAAGAGAAAAAACACAGAATTGGAAAGCAGGATCTTAGCTGTAGTCAATAATCTGCCACAAGGATATTTTACTCTATATTATCTCTATCCTATGTTTTAGGTTTCAGGCACTATAATTTTGTTTTATTCAACATTTATAAAATAGATTAGAATAAATGATTTAGAAATATCTTTTTTTTTTTTTTGGGTCGGGTCGTGGGGTCTGAACTGTGGGCCTGGGCGCTGTCCCTCAGCTCTTCAGCTCAAGGCTAGTGCTCTACCACTTGAGCCACAGCGCCACTTCCAGCTTTTTTCTTTTTGCTTGTGTTGTGCTGAGGAATCGAACCCAGGGCCTCAGGCATGCAAGGCAAGCGCTCTCCCACTGAGCCACCTTCCCAGCCCTAGAAATATCTTTGAATCTAAATTAATTTCTTAAGTTTTTTTTTTTTTTTTTTGTCGGTCGTGGGGCTTGAACTCTGGGCTTGGGTGCTGTCCCTGAGCTCTTCAGCTCAAGGCGAGTGCTCTACTGCTTTTTCTTAAGTTTTTTAGTGACTGGGGTTTGAACTCTGTGCTATGCACTGCTAGGCAGATGCTCTACTTACTTGAGGCAGGCCCCCACTCTTCTTTCTCAGTTTTCAAGGAATTTCAAGTTTCAAGAATACACACTAAATAGTGCATTATCATAGACAAAGCAATAATCACATAAATACTGCCATTGCAACTGATTGAAATATCTAACAGTTAAATACTTATGTGCCAGGCATTGTTCTAAAATTTTTTTGGGGGGGGGCGGTCAGTTGGGGGCTTGAACTAAGGGCCTGAGCACTGTCCCTGAGCCTCTTTTTGCTCTAGGCTAGCACTCAACCACTTGAGCCACAGTGCCACTTCCAGTTTTTGAGTGGTTAATTGGAGATAAGAATCTTATGGGGACTGTTCTGCCTGGACTGACTTCAAACCATGATCCTCAAGATCTCAGCCTCCTGAGTAGCTAGGATTAGAGATATGAGCTACTGATGCCCAGCTATGTCCTAAATACTTTACATATATTCCTCCATTTAATGCTCTATCAATACTATAAGAAAGACTCACACACAAATAGAATTTGGTAGATGAGGAAAATGAGATGGAAATGTATCATCTTGTCCAAGGTTCAAATGTCCAGTGACTATAAGGTCCATGCTCTTAATCACCACACACAATAATGTCTCTTTAGAAATAAATTGTTTCTCAAATCACCTCTAAAAATTGTTTCACTAACCAGAAAACTCAGTGCTACTGTTGACTAATTACGTGAATTATTTGATTTAAAGTTCTTTGATCTCCTAAGTATTGGCATACTGCTTAGTGGTGTGTTATCAAATGGAAAAATGGCTGGCTCCAAAAGGGAGGAAAAAACAAGGTTCTGAAATTTCTTCAAAAAAGATGATTAGCCTTTGAATGAATGCATGTTTTATTAAGGAAAGAGGATGTTGTAATATGCAACTGGCAAGACAGAAATCACTGTATCCAGTTTTTCCAATAAGGAAAAGAGCTGGTGAACGGAATGGTTTACATATTTTATATCAAGCATGGTAGAGCTTTATTCAGTTGATAATACCCTAGCAGTGCTTAGCTTTAAGAGCTTATTCCAGATTTATTGAACATTAGAATATATAAAATATTTTTCCTTTATTTGTACTAATCATGCCATCTTGCCAAAAGTTCTTAATTTTTTAAAAAATGCCAGGGAAAACATGTCACATTAAACTTTTTGAGTATGACAAGAATATTGTGGTTATATAGAAGAGTACCTGGGATGAAATTTCATGCTATCTGCAATTTGTTTTTCAGGCTTAAGCTAAAAAAATGTACGTATGTATACATTTATATATACACACATATATACATATATATGCATTTAAAGTTATCTACAAAGTACTAGTATATGAATATATATGTTTAAGTATATAATGTCATCAGATGAGAAATGAGGGCTTTCCTCAGCTTCCTAGTTTCCATGCAAAATCGGATCCTTGAGATCCATTTAAGAGAAGCATTTCAAGCCTCAAACCTTTCACGAGGTAAAAAGTTAGCAATGGTTTATTTTAGTGTGACAGGGCGAAAATACAGAAAAATGGGAAAAAGAGAAACATTTCCTGCTTCTCATTCAGGAAATGGGAATTAAGACTCCTATAGAAAAATATTTCCAAGGGAAAATTGCCTCAAATTCTATATTCCATATAAAACTTCAAGCATTTTAATAAGTGAGTCTTTAGGGTGAAAAAGTATGTCAATATGTTGGTACAACTTTGCTTACTATTATTTTAATTATATAAAACATATTATGATAAAAATTAAGATAATCAGCCATGATAAAATTAAGATAATCAGGAGCTTTGGCTAATACATGCTTATTATCTATACCAAAATATACAGCTTTTGTGAGAAGTGCTAGACAGAAGGACATACTCAGTAAGTGTTGAATCACACAGCTCTTTTTAGCACAGTTATAGCAAAGCTTATAGGGCTAGTGTTGGAAATCTCTTTCTAGGGCACAGAAATTGCTAGAGCTGTGAGTCATAGTGACTTACATAGCATTTTCAAATAACTTATATTCCCTTAGAAATTGTGATGTGAACCTAATGGAAATGGATTCTATGAAAACAATCACATGAGTTTTCTAAGTCCACTAAAAGACCTTGATGTAACAATCTAGGTACTCTAGATAACACTTTCATTGAAAGCAGCAACTAGAGAAAGAACAATGCTCTGGAGCAATAAAAATCATGCTTGGTCAAGTTCCCTTATTATCTATGTTGATTTTCGGGGAATGGAAAATAAAGCCAATAATTTAGAAATTAGCAAAATGAAAACTTAATCCTGCTTTGTACTTACTGATTAGGAGTTCCAGGTGGAGATCTTGATGGAAGGCTTTGTGTTTCTAACCTGTCATCAGATACTGAATTTCTGCTTACTACTTCCCAATCCATTAATTTCCGTGCCAATGGCTTACTAGGGGATCTGCAGATATAATTTAAGTAATATATGGAAAAGCTTTAGGCCAGGTTTCAGCAGCTCATGCTTATAATCCTAGCCATATCTAGAGGACTGAGGTTCAAGGCCAGTCCAGGTAAAATAGTTCACTAGACTTTACCTATAAAATAATCAACTATCTGCCTATAAAAAAAAAAAAAAAAAAAAAAATCACAAAATTTTAGTTGAAGCACCTCAGTAGAATAAAAACACAAGAATTTTCAGTCATAGTTCATAAAACACAGACTGTTATTAAGTAAATTTTCATGTGCTTCAGATTTTCCATAATAATAATTACTTTCCTTAAAGATGATCATCACTTTTTCCTTCTCACCAGGTACTATGTCCAGACATACAGATGTATAAATTAGAAAAATTATCAAGAAATACTGTATAAATTAAAAAAAACCCTCAATCAAGGCACAAAACAAATGTAACATTAAATCATCTAATTAAACTGAAATAATAAGATCATTATTTACCACTTTCCTCATACATAACAACTTTGAGGGTTTATTAACCATAGTTAAAAGATCAAATACTTTCATTTTCTAAGAGAAAAAAATCATTTGAAGAAGAAAAAACCAATATACTTACCTTGTATAATTTGTCACAACACTTATTTCTTGTTAATGTACTAAATGTGTGAAATGCTTTGAATTTAAAACTAAACTTCAGGTATTTTGTTTTATTAACAGTTTTAACCTCAGAGACCCACCCACTCAAGCTTGCTGTCTATGTTTCCTGTTGAATGTGGAAATTTCAGAGAAAAAAATACCACACTGCATCAGTGTGTTTGCAATGTGGTAAGTTTATTTTCTGACCATGGCATCTTATTTTTCTATCATATGAAAACCCTGTTTTATATTCTTCGTAGATAATATTATATAACAACTAAGCAATTCAAATATATAAGAAAAAAAGTAACTTAATTATTGTTAAAAATCTTACTATATGGAATGTTTAAGGAGAAATCTTTTTAATTTATGCTGTCTATTAAGTTCCAAGAAAGATAAAAATTCTTTACCACTGTACCAACAGTTGCTAACATAGAGAATTTTGTAGATATCTACCAAGTAATTGCAATATAATTCTGATATATTAGAAAGAAAAATAGGAGGCTGGGAAGGTGGCTCAGTGGTAGAGTGCTTGCCTTGCATGCATGAGTCCCTGGGTGCGATTCCTCAGCACCACATAAGCAAAAAGAAAAAAGCTGGAAGTAGCACTGTGGCCCAAGTGGTAGAACGAGCGCTAGCCTTGAGGTGAAGAGCTGAGGGACACCGCCCAGGCCCACAGTTCAGGCCCCACTACCAAACCCCCCCCCCAAAAGAAAAATGATCACAGAAGTTTAGATTTTGCCATAGAATGGTTTAACGTTTTTAAAATGTCTTCCCTTGACTCAGAGGTAGAAGGTTTGCTTAGCATGTAAAAGGTCTCTTGGGCTTAAGTTCCTGCATTGCAAAAAAAAGTAAAACTTCCCAGTTGACAACTTATTTTAAGGAGAATTCTTAAAGCTCCAGAAAATAATTAGTATATAATTGTTCTTTGGGGCTCCTCACTCTAGAATTCTAGATTTACCACTATTCATTGAATAACATTTTAAAAAATGTTAAGTTCATATTTCAATAATGAATATACAAATAAGATAAAGATGTAATGGCTTATTTCTGAGATCTAATGTGATTTAAAAAAACTTCAAATGTAAAATTTCTTTTCCTCCAGAAACACACAAAAAAAGAACTTTTAAAGCTGAAGAACAAAATGTAAACACAGTAAAAATAAAAACAAATTCTTTAATTACTGTTACTGAAACCCTCAAGCTTCCCAGCAGTATATGCCAAACACATTATGATTTTTGCCCCTGCTCTTTATTTTTCTGGTATCAGGGTCTTTAAACTCAGCTGCTCAGCAAACAAGAGAACCTGAGTTAAAAAATGTTGGAAACTACCACTTGAGCCAAACTACCACATCAGCTTTTTGTTGTTTATTCTGAAGACAGAGTTTTGCAGACTCTTCTGCCTGGGATATCTTTAAACAGTAATCTTCTGGGTCTTAGCCTCCTCAGTAGCTAGGATTACAGGTGTCAGCCACCAACATTATTGAAAACAAACTCCTGTTTCAAACAAACCTCTTATGTAATTGATCATCAATTTCTACTTTCATCTTTGTTTCTTATTCTCTATTTCACCAGTTCATGCCTCTACTGGTTTTACTTGGATTACTTCAATTATCTTCCAATTGGTCTCTGGGTACCCAATCTCCACTTACTAATCTTTGCTAATGAAAGTATTTTCAAAAACATAAATATTATCATTATATTTTCTATATTCATGGCATTTCTTTACATATTATATACTTAATATTTATGAAACAGATCTTTATTAACTATATGAATTTTCTTGCTCATGAAAGTATTTTCTAAAACATAAGTATGCAAACTGTCTCTAGCAGACTAAAAATTAGAATAAATGGCAACAGTATGACTAGGGCTAGATAACATGTCCCTGGATTTCTCAAAAATGTTTTAAAAAAGGAGACAAATTTTTAATAAAATGTCATATTAATTATATGATCTGATTTAGCCTATTCCAAGCTCCAATAATTGCATGCCTGTTTTATATATATTTAAAAACAAGAATTAGTGTATCATTCAATCAGCATAATTTACTGTGTAATTAAGGATCACATGATTATTCTGCAATCACTTAAGACAATTTTAAAAATAATTTTAATACTTAAAAACCACACACAAAAGTGACTTACCTTGCAAACACCCTGTCTTTATTTGCTTTTTCTTTGCCATATTGAACTGACTGGACTTCAGTTCTGCCACTAAAATATATAAACATGTATAATATCTTAAAGAGAATTATAAAATAGATAACATTCATATATAAAATACATTATATACAATTTTGTGAGACACGTTTAACAAAAGAAAAAGATAAAATAGAAAATAAGGAAAGACTGGACTATATTTTGGTTCCATCTGTATAGATGAAGCTTAATTACAGTTATTCTATTAATGAACAAAGAAATATGTTTCATAAACATTTTCTATTACTTTCTTGCTGAGAATTAGAAATAATTTAGCATGACAGAATTCCTTGCAAAAGCCCTCTGAGTCAAAGATAAGTCACCATGCTCAAATCAAACAAGTTCCACCAGCCTGCCTGCCCTCCCCCTCAGCACGATTGGGACCTAGTCAATGTCTCCATTGTAACATGCTGTAACATGGAGGAGTTTGGGCAGCTACCTTTCTTTGGGCAAACTTTGCTTCCTTTTTTACTGCTAATGATCACAGGTACAGAAATTCCCTCCACATCCAGAAATAGGTAATTTCAGAAAGTTATGTACTACATGTCCTGAAACTAATTTCATAGCATACTTTTTTTTTTTTTTGTCGGTTGTGGGGCTTGAACTCTGGGCTTGGGCGCTGTCCTTGCGCTCTTCAGCTCAAGGCAAGTGCTCTACCGCTTGAGCCACAGCGCCTCTTCCGGTTTTCTAGTGGTTTATTGGAGATAAGAGTCTCACAGACTTTCCTGCCCACGCTGGCTTTGAACCATGATCCTCAGATCTCAGCCTCCTGAGTAGCTAGGATTACAGGCGTGAGCCACTGGCGCCCAGCTCATAGCATACTTTTAAGTATACCATTTATACAGAGGAAGTGATTCTCTCTGTGGCATAACAATGTGTTCAGGCTAATTTTGTTATAAAAGCTTGGTTATCAGAGAATGTTACTTATGGCATCCTGTTACTTCAGTATGAACATAAAATAATATAGTAAATATAACTACTTACAAGTGTAGCTATAAAATGTACATACAAGTATCCAAAGCAAATGTAAGGCTATATTCCACAGATAAATATCAATACATGTAAATTGACTGACAAGCTTGTAAGGAATAGTAGCGTATTTTTTTTTTTTTGGGGGGGGGAGCAACAGTACTAACTTTTGAACCTAGGGCGTTGTGCTTGCTAGTCAGTTATTCTGCCACTTGAGCCAAACTATTAGTCTCTAGCATCTTTTTTTTTTATTGTAAAGATACTATACAGACAGTTACATGAATGAGGTAATGAGTACACTTCCTCTTGAACGTTGTTACCCCTTCCATTGTTTTCCCCCTACCATCCCCTCCCTCCCTACCTTCCCCGAGGTTCTTTTTTTTTTTATTGTGATTAAGTGATTACATAATTTCCGGAAATTCACAGTATTGTGGAATAATGATGCTCATTTAAAGTCACAAGTTCATTCTAACTTTCCTGGAGCAAATTGTCTATCACAGTCTGTAATATATAACGGTGTTCACATGTTATATACCATACATGGGATCAGCAGCATGGGGATATTTAGTAGTGGTTCAACCAGATGAGCAGGAGTTCTTTGTTTCTTAAGTCCTGTTAGTTTTGTCGTATCACCTAACATTTTGGATTTAGCATCCACTTATCAGGGAGACCATGTACCATTTGTCTCTTCGTTCTTGGCTAACCTCGCTCAACATGATTCCTTCTAGCTCCATCCATTTCCCTGTCATTTCTAATGGCTGCATAATATCCATTGTGTACAGATACCACAATTTTTGGATCCATTCATCTGTGGTGGGGCATCTAGGTTGTTTCCATATCCTAGCTATTGTGAACAGTGCTGCAATAAACATGGAGGTGCACGTGTCCTTGTATATTGGTTCCTGTTGTTCAGGGTAGATGCCTAGAAGTGGTATGACTGGGTCATAAGGGAGGTCAATCTTTAGCTTTCTAAGGACCCTCCAGACTGCTTTCCAAAGTGGTTGTATAAGTGTACATTCCCACCAGCAGTGTAATAGGGTTCCTCTTTCTCCACATCCCCTCCAGCATTTGTCGTTGGCTGATTTGTGGATGTGGGACATTCTGACTGGGGTAAGGTGGTATCTCAGGGTTGTCTTTATTTGCATTTCCTTCACCACCAGGGATGATGAACATTTCCTCATGTGTTTCTTTGCCATTTTTATTTCTTCATTTGAGAAGTCCCTCTTTAGTTCCCTTGCCCATTTAGTAATTGGTTTGTTAGGTTTGGGAGGGATTAGTTTCTTGAGTTCCCTGTATATACAGGATGTTAACCCCTTGTCTGATATATTGCTGGTAAATATTTTTTCCCAGTTCGTTGGTTGTCTTTCTAGCTTAGTTGCGATAGATTTAGCTGTGCAGAAGCTTTTTATTTTAAGGTAGTCCCATTTGTCGAGTCTCTCTCCAACTTGTTGTGACCCTGGGACTCTGTTCAGGAAGTTCCTTCCTGTGCCTATTAGTTCAAGTGTCTCTCCTACTCTGTCCTGCAGTAGTTTCAGAGATTCAGGTTTAATGTTAAGGTCTTTAATCCATTTTGAGTTGATGTTGGTGCATGGTGATAGGCTGGGGTCCACTTTTAGTTTTCTGCATGTGGCTGCCCAGTTTTCCCAGCACCAGCGGTTGAAGAGGCTGTGTTTCTTCCATTGTATGTCTTTGGCTCCTTTGTCAAATATCAGCTGGCTGTAGGCCTGTGGATTTATTTCTGGATCTTCTATTCTGTTCCATTGGTCTTCGGGTCTGTTTTTGTGCCAGTCCCATGCTGTCTTTGTGATTATAGCTCTGTAGTAGAGTTTGAAGTTCGGCATGGATAGCCCTCCCATATTGTCTTTATCCCCTAGAATTGTTTTGGCTATTCTAGGTCTTTTGTTGTTCCATATGAATTTTTGGACTGTTTTCTGTATTTCAGTGATGTACGTCATTGGGATTTTAATAGGAATTGTATTAAATTTGTATATTAGTTTTGGAAGTATTACCATCTTTACTATATTAAGTCGGCCTATCCAGGAGCATGGGAGGTCTTTCCATTTCCTAGTGTCTTCTGCAATTTCTTTCTTTAACTTTTTATAGTTCTCATTAAATAGTTCTTTTACATCTTTGGTTAGGTTAATTCCTAAATATTTTATTTTTTGGGAGGTTATTGTGAATGGGGTTGCTCCCTTTATTTCCCTCTCTTCCTGTACATTATCAGTGTATAGGAAGGCAACTGATTTTTGTGCGTTTATTTTGTATCCTGCTATTTTGCCGAAGTGATTTATGATTTCTAAGAGTTTGGGGATGGAGTTTTTGGGATCGTGGAGGTATAGTATCATGTCGTCTGCAAAAAGGGATAGTTTAACTTCTTCTTTCCCTATGCGGATCCCTTTAATGTCTTTTTCTTGCCTTATTGCCCTGGCTAAGGGTTCTAAGACTATATTGAAGAGGAGTGGAGACAATGGGCATCCTTGCCTTGTTCCTGATTTTAGGAGAATTGGTTGTACCTTTTCCCCATTAAGTATAATATTGGCTATTGGTCTGTCATAAATGGCTTTTATTGTTTTTAGAAATGTTCCTTCTATTCCTATTTTCTCCAGAGCTTTTAGCATGAATGAATGTTGAATTTTATCAAAGGCCTTTTCTGCATCTGTGGCGATAATCATGTGATTCTTGACCTTGGCTCTGTTGATATGTTGGATTACATTTATTGACTTACGTATGTTAAACCATCCCTGTGTCTCTGGGATGAAGCCTACCTGGTCACAGTGTATTATTTTTTTTATGTGTTTCTGGATTCTGTTAGCTAGAATCTTGTTAAGGATCTTTGCATCTGTGTTCATCAAGGAGATTGGCCTGTAATTCTCCTTTTTGGTTGGGTCTTTGCCTGGTTTGGGATGAGTGTGATATTGGCTTCGTAGAATGAGTTTGGGATAGCTCCCTCCTTCTCTGTTTCTCTGAAGAGCTTGAGGAGTATGGGTATTAGTTCTTCTTTAAAGGTCTTATAGAATTCTGCTGTGAATCCATCTGGTCCTGGGCTTTTTTTTGTTGGAAGACTTTTGATAGCTTCCTGTATCTCATTATAGGATACTGGCTTATTTAATTGGTTAACTTCTTCTTTGCTCAGTTTGGGCAACTTGTATTTCTCTAAAAATGCATCCATTTCCGCCAGATTTTCTTCCTTTAGAGAGTATAGCTTTTGAAAGTAGTCTGTTAGAATTGTTTGGATATCTTGGGTACGTGTTGTGATGTTTCCCATGGCATCCCTAATCCTATTAATATGGGTTTCCTCTCTTCTTTTTTTAATTAATCTTGCCAACGGGCCATCAATTTTGTTTATTTTTTCAAAGAACCGGCTTTTTGTTTGGTTTATTTTGGTTATGGTTTTCTGATTTTCTAATTGGTTAATCTCTGCTCTTAATTTGGTTATCTGGCTTCGTCTAGTAGCGTTAGGTCCTATTTTTTCTTGTTTTTCTAGCTGTTTTAATTGCAACATGAGATTATTTACTTGGTCTGTCTCCATTCTCTTAATGTGGGCACTGAGGGCAATAAATTTGCCCCTCAGGACTGCTTTTGCTGTGTCCCACAAGTTTCTTTGTGAGGTGTTTTCATTTTCATTGAGTTGTAGGAAATGCTTTATTTCTTCTCTGATCTCTTCTGTTACCCAGGCATTGTTAAGGAGTGTGCTGTTCAATTTCCATGTATTAGAGAAATTTCTGCGGTATGCTTTGTTATTGAGAGTTAGCTTGATTCCACTGTGGTCAGATAGGATACAGGGGATTATGTCGATCCCTTTGTATTTGCTTAAGTTCCTTGCATGAACTATGATATGGTCTATTTTGGAGAAAGTTCCATGAGCTGCTGAGAAGAATGTGTACTGTGTTGTTTTAGGGTGAAATACTCGGTAGATGTCAGTTAATTCCGCTTGAAGTATGGCCTCACTTAATTCGGTAGCTTCTTTGCCAATCCTCTGGTTGGTAGACCTGTCCTTTGGTGAGAGTGGTGTGTTAAAGTCTCCTAGTATTATCGTATTGGGATCT